TTATTGTGCTCCAATTAGACCTTTATTATTATTTGTGTTTATTATTATAGTATAAAAGTCTCAAATCATTTTGGTAATGACAGCTGCATATATGCTAATGCTTTATTTCTTTCTTTATTCCCATATTTGTTAATGGTCTTTATATATTGATCATTTGCAGACACTTCAGCCAATTATTCTCTTTGATTTTTCACTCTTCACCTTCTGTTATCAATGCAGGCAGATTCTGTCTGACTTCATTGATCGTAACATTGTGCTGGGCGATCATCTATATTGGTAGAATTTGGTGTCATTCAGCAATATTTATTTTCAGTGTTAGCAGCATGAATAGACAGCAAATAATCCCATATTAAAAGAAAAATCTGCATAGTCCAGTGTGTGAGATGTAATCAGAGTGACTCAGAGTGGTTTGGTGTGAAATGGTTCAGATGTCTTTACAGTGGTGGTGATAGGAACCAGGGGTCGCCATGACTACAACACAGATATAGACATTTTATTTACTATCCAGAACCACCAGTGAACCTACACGAGTCTTCTGAGTTTATATGGAATGTTGATGATGGAAAATAGTGGAAAATCTGAAATAATAAGTTTTCTTTGGGGACTATTTTGCCTCAAAACGCCCTGCATATTATGTATCCCTCCACCATGAATGGAGTTTAAGGCCAAAATCTTCTCAAAACTATCATAAAACAGTGTCTCAGTCATCAGGCAGTGAATTCATAACCATTTCCTGTAGTAACTTTCTGTGCGGGAGCTTTTAGAGGTGGACGTCTGGTTCCTATCACCACCACTGTGAACAATTCTGACTCGGTAAGTTTCTCTAGAACAGAGCGTTTCACACCAAACCACTCTAAACCACTCTGTTTACATCTTAACCGTTTAATTATGCAGAAATTTTTAAAAATTGGTAGAATTCCCCTTTAACACAAACCGTTCAAAGCTATGAAAATTTAATATCTTGTTAATACATTAAAAAATAAACTAATAGTGAGCTGCTTTTGTGGAATTGGGCTGTTTGCCTGGACATGTAATTGTATACTCTTAAAAATGGTTCTTCAAGGGTTCTTTAGCAAAGAAAATGGTTCTATACAGAACCATTAACACTCAAAGAACCCTGTTCTTCAGATTGATGGAGAATGTGCTGCAGATGCTGTGGATACAATATCAAGCTTGTTACAAAGAACACTTTACATGATTAAAGGGTTCTTTGTGTCATGAAAGGGTTCTTCAGAACGACAGGGAAAGTGCTGTAGATGGTTCTATATAGAATAGTGTTTTTGATAAGGGTTCTATATAGCATCCAGAAGGGTTCTTCAATTGTAACAAGCTTGGTATTGTATCTACAGCACATTCTCCATCAGTCTGAAGAACATTTTTGCAATGCAAAGAAACTTTTAATCATGCAAAGGGTTCTTTGAGTGTCCATGGTTCTATTTAGAACCATTTTCTTTGCTGAAGAATCCTTGAAGAACCATATTTAAGAGTATACAGTTACATAAAAAAGAGAAACAGAACAGTCCAGTCAGAAGAAGCTCTGTCAGGTTTGTAAGACATTACTTTAGTGTGGAGTAGCAGCACTCAGGAAACATGAGTGCATTAATTTGAACCCTTAGAATGAAAAAACAGTGTATATGACTTTTTTAAATCATATACTGCGTGGTAAGGCATTGTTTGATGCCCTGAATTTAAAATAAAGGGGACGTTAACATAAATAAAGCATAGTTTGGCTTTTTAATGTACAAGGTTGTAAAAAATAAAATAGGAATTTGGTTAAGATTTGGTTAATGTGTTTTTCATTGGGTGGTTCAACTCATTAATGCTAACTTCAAAAGCGTCTGATACTGTGACATATTTGGAAAATATCACAGTGTTGAGTTTTCTCAGTATCGCCCAGCAGCTCTCGTAACTGAATCAGTCTTCTCTCAGTCCCTTTTCCATCAGATCCTTCTTCATCAATCCCCCGCTGTATCCTCCTCACTAGACCTTCCTGTTGACACAAAACAGATGGGAATATGTTTTGTGCTGATCATTCGCAATGTCACGGCACGTTTACGCCACTGATCAGACCCTCATATGATTTGCCCTTTCTGAACTCTACCTCGCCGTCCAGCACCCCGAACGTCCAGCTTTGCCCTTTCACAAAGCAGACCAACCAATTCCTCTCCGAATGAGTGAGAAATCTCACAGTGGAATCAAAACACGTTCCCTCGCGAGGTTGTGTGCTGCTTTTTGAGAATGCTGTGTCACCCTGCTGCCTTTTGTGTTCACTAGGGGTGAAACAGTTCAGTGTACCATATCATATCTTACTGCACTTTATACAAGAGAGAGTTCCGGCCACGCAAGCTGATTGGTTGAGTTCTAACTGTGCTGTTATTTCACCATAACATCACAGCTTTTTCACTTCTTACTTTGTGCACAAACAGAAAATGGATACTTTTAAGATCACATTTGACCGACAGCCGATTTGGTCAGACTCTGAAGATGAGACGACACTAAATTCCCAAACTGTCATCACCACTGAGCAGCTTTTCAGTCGGCAGCTGAGACAGAAGAACAGCTGAACAACCTGGAATCAGCCAGAAATGAACCCAATAAAACGGCCACAATATCAGGTTTAGCTCAGTTTTGCTGCTCAGTGGTGATGACAGTTTGGGAATTTAGTGTAAGGAGCTGGAGAACGAACTGCCGGCTGTGCAGCGAGTGGGCGGAGCTCGTTACTCTGACGTAGCAACAAGCTGCTTGTTAAGGAACTATAATTTGGTGAAGGAACTGCGAACATTAAAACATATTAAACGCCGCGTTCACGGCCCAGTTTATTAATTTATTACTTTATTTATTTAACTGTTGTATTAAAGCAATAGAACACTCGAGGAGTGCGTTATCGCCAATAACATCACGGCTGTGATGATCTACGGCGACCAAATCACAGCCGTGATGATATTTCGTGATAACACACTCCCTCTGTGTTCTACTGCTTAGTTAAGGTGTTGAACTATTGTATCGTGACTAGCATGTTAACTCGTGCCACATCACAGTACATCACAGCTAAAATAATACTTTGAGCCTGATTCATGTCCTGTCGGGGGTCTAACAAGTTAGCTTGTGGATCATGGCTACTGTGTTAGCTATGGCCTAGCTTATTAGCTCATAGCTAGTGTGTTACATCATGACTAATATTAGGTTATGGCTAAGCTCAGGGCTAACACGTTAGCTTGTGTTTAGCACTTTAGATTAAGGCTAACATGAGCTCATGACTAGTGTGGTAGCTCTGAGGTAATATATTAGTCTGTAGCATATTAGCTCATGCCTTGCTTGTTAATTCAGGGCTAACATATTAGCTCAAGGCTTGCTTGTTAGCATAGGGCTAACATATTAGCTCAAGGCTTGCTTGTTAGCTTAGGGCTAACATATTAGCTCAAGGCTTGCTTGTTAGCATAGGGCTAACATATTAGCTCACGGCTTGCTTGTTAGCTTAGGGCTAACATTAGCTCACGGCTTGCTTGTTAGCTTAGGGCTAACATATTAGCTCACTGCTCACTCGCTAACTCAGGGCTAACATATCTCACATCAAGATTGTTAACTCAGGGCTAACATTAGCTCGTATCTAGTGAGTTAGACTGCAGCTAACAAATTAGCTTGTGACCTGCTCATTAACACAGAGCTAACATATTAGCTCACAGTTTGCTCGTTAACTCGCTGCTAACATATTAGCTCAATAGTTAACTCAGGTCTAATATATTAGCTCATGTTATGATTGTTAACTTGGGGATAACGTTAGCTCTTGGCTTGCTCTTTAACTCAGGGCTAAAATAATAGCTCATGGCTTGCCTGTTAGCTCAGGGCTAACATGTTAGCTCACAGCTTACTTGTTAGCTCAGGGCTGACATATTAGCTCACTGCTTGCTTGTTAGCTCGGAGCTAACATATTAGCTCACTGCTTGCTTGTTAGCTCAGGGCTAACATATTAGGTCACTGCTTGCTTGTTAGCTCGGAGCTAACATATTATTCGTTCTCCAGCTCCTCACACTAAATTCCCAAACTGTCATCACCACTGAGCAGCTTTTCAGTCGGTAGCTGTGACAGAAGAACAGCTAAACAACCTGGAATCAGCCAGAAATGAACCCAACACCATTCGCCAAATGTGTAGTCTGATCTTCAGAGTCTGACCAAATCAGACTGAGCCATAAAACTGCTGCAATATCAAGTTCAGCTCAGTTTTGTCAGTTTTTGCCAGATCAGTATTAATGTTGCTTAGCAACGGCGACTCAGCGGAGTGATACAGTGTTTGTGAAAAACCTGTGATGTTATGGTGAAATAACAGCACAGTTAGAACGCTTCTCGACCAATCAGCTTGCGTAGGCGGGACTAACTGTTGTATAATTCATGTGCTAATTGCACGTTAATTGCTGCGAGTGCTTGGTAACTACAAGTCTGTAATGTACCTTTATAATAATACTGCAATAAATTGAAAATGCAAACAAGGCACATTTTCAGGCGCTGCTTATTGCTGCGGTTGTATCAATAAATAAATCGTATTGAGAATTGAACTGAGGATTGTGTGAATTGTTACCACCCCTAGTGTTTAGCCTGGTGTTAGCTGAAGCCTGACTGTGAATGTAAAGGAATGCATGGCTTAAACTGAAAACAATGCAAAAACATACTGGACACGTTCTACATACACCCCTACCTGCCTCACATAATCCTGTCACCCTGTTATGACTGAGTGTGAACTGTGGGTGCTGTAGGTCTTCGCTGTGATGTGGTGCGAGTGGATGTTTGTGTGCGTTTTCTTTCTTTTCTTCTCTCCTTTATTCTTTATTTCCTCCCTTTTTTTTGTTTAATCTTCCCCACTTCCTCACTCTTCAAAGTGTTTCTCTCTCCCAGTGGTTTTGCTTTTCTCCTTCCTCCTCTTCTGTCTGTCTTCTTTTTTTTTTTTCTCCGCTGACCCTGTCCTTGGTCTAAATATATTTGACCCCTCATACCTTCCTGTGGCACAAAACTGATTGAGGATGACTGGTTCTTTCCTGGCTGCTCCGATCCAGCACTAGCCAATCGGCAGCAGGAGTTGGAGGAGGAGGAGGAGCTTGTCCAGGCCAGAGGGCTCCGCCCACAGAAGGGCAAGAAGCCTGGAGACTCCGCCCCCCGCAGCCTGCAGGTACGAATCACCTTCACCTTTAATCCATTCAAGGTCAGCAGCTGGATTTAGTTAATAATGATAATGAAAAATGTCACAGAGCTCATTCTGATTGGCCTGAAGTGATGAAATTCTGTGTAGTTGCACTGCAGGTGAATGTCTAGCAGTACCTGTTTCAATTTCTTTGATTACGTATTGTTTTAGGACTTTTATTGACAATTAAGTTGGGTTTTTTTCTTGTTTTGTTAAAAATCTGTGGTCTCATGTGACCGAAGGACTGAATTTCGCATAATAAATAAGGAATAAAATTATAAAAACTTAAAATTTAAGTAAAAAACAAGATCTTAGGCAAATAGGAGGATTCATTTCAAAATTTTCTTCTGCTTTGTGCCCAGGGAAGCTCGTAGAATTCAAAAAAGCTTTAACAGTTTAACATTTTAGACAAAATAATGAGTTACTTATCTGGTCATTCAGTTTACATTAATATATAAATGTAATTATGTATTTAATAACATAATTAGTAGCAGATATTACATTTCTGCATGTACAGTTCTTTTCTGTTTGTTTCAATGTCAAAAAATGACAAAAGCTACAAAAATGTGAAGTTTTTATTTTTGCAAAACGAGACTGTACACACAACAATAACTTAATCAAATTCAAATAATGATAAAGTATCTTCTCTTCTATGTATAAACACAGTGTGGATTGAAAGTTTAGAACCAGCGCTTTCAACACAAATTCTCCACTTTATATACACACCGATCAGGCATAACATTCTGACCACCTCCTTGTTTCTATGCTCATTGTCCATTTTATCAGCTCCACTTACTATATAGGTGCACTTTGTAGTTCTACAGTTACAGACTGTAGTCCATCTGTTTCTCTGATACTTTGTTAGCCCCCTTTTACCCTGTTCTTCAGTGGTCAGGACCCCCATGGACCCTCACAGAGCAGGTACTATTTGGGTGGTGGATCATTCTCAGCACTGCAGTAACACTGACGTCGTGGTGGTGGTGTTAGTGTGTGTTGTGCTGGTACGAGTGGATCAGACACAGCAGTGCTGCTGGAGTTTTTAAACACTGTGTCCACTCACTGTCTACTCACACTAACACACCACCACATCAGTGTTACTGCAGTGCTGAGAATGATCGACCACCCAAATAGTACCTGCTCTGTGAGGGTCCATGGGGGTCCTGACCACTGAAGAACAGGGTAAAAGGGGGCGAACAAAGTATGCAGAGAAATCATTATAATCATACTACTACTAATAATATTGTTTTATTGTTGTTGTGATAGTAGTGACAGTAGTATAAATACACAGAGTGTATTATAAATATTTAAGAGTGAGATTTTATAGCTCTAATATTGGGAAACAGACACAGTGCCTGCTGAGTGAAGCAGGTCTGGAAATTTTTAACCACAGAAAAAAAGAGATTGCAGGCCATATTTAAGAGTTTGTCTGAAGCTGGTAGCTCTTTTTTCTCCTCAGGAGGACTTCGAGTTTGACCGAAGGTCATCTTTCCCGGACCCCCGAAGCCCCTCAGGCAGCACCACTCCCATGGAAGGGGAGAATATGGGAGGTTGGTGGCCCGAGTACAGTGCCAGTGCCCCAGACACAGGTGTGAAACCCACTAGACAGTTGAGACTGGCATGCACACTGTTCATGTCCCATATTTTACTGTATTTGAATTACACATGTTGATTTTTTTTACTTTTCATTTGGCGTTCTGTTTATTTTTAACACCTCACTCAATTTTATTTACAAACAAGGGTGTTTTAATTTAATCTAACCTGTCAACCCAGTGTGACCATCACTTTTGGTTGACCTGTATTTTGTAGTTTGCTTTTTTCCGTAGAGCTCAGCCTGTTCGGAGCATGTGCGTGCTGGATGAACTGCCTAGTCTTGGTTCAGTAGGCTGTAGTCCATGTTGAATGCATTGAACTTTTTTTGTCAGTATGTAATAATGTAGGTGTGCAGTGCCTTCACCTGTGGTAAGTGTTTCAGCCACCATTGATGAGTTTATTCAGCCATTTGTGTTTCGTTTAATTAAGTAAATGATTAAGGGTTTTTATATAAATTTTATTTATATAAATAATATGAAACGTTTGAATTCCCAGCTGCATGCAGGTTTTAAAATGGGATTAAATGCATATATTCAGTTATTATTTACAATAATGTCCCAATCCAAGTATTTTAATTATTATTAGGATTGTCTATATTAATCCTGGTCCAGTTCTGATTCTTTTTTTTGCTCTCTGTTTACACCACTGATGCTGAGGTTATGTAAACGGACATATAAACAAACATGAAGCACAAACAGACGGTGAAGCAGCGTTGTTTTTATGTCCCAAAAATTCGGAACTCTTTTTACCATTTAATATTCATGAGGCATCATCTGTTACCAGCTTTAAAAATCAGCTGAAAACATCTTTATTTAGCTTAATATTCTGTTAGGCTTCTGCTTTTATTTCAAATCTTATGTTAATCATTTCATTATTGTTATTTTTCATTGTCATTGACTTTATTTTATTTTTTTCTTTATATTTTAAGGTTATTTTAAGGTATTATGTAATAATAATACCCGTAAACAAACACATCTCATTTATTTATTTATTTATTTTTGCTTTTACAGTTTACATATGTGAGTTTGATGTATCATTTAATTTCATTGTGAAGCACTTTGAGCTGAATTTTATGAAAGGTACTATATAAAAGAGGTTTATTATTATTATTATTATTATTATTATTATTATTAATCACACCCTGCAATGGTGAGGAATGTTAAGAAAGAAAATTTCTGCAGTCAGGAACTGTTTTACAGTGGAAAATGAAAACTTTATTTTATGCTGCTTACTGTGATCTGTGTGCTGACAGAAGTACATTTTCACTCATGATCGATTAAAGGGGAACTCCACCGATTTTTCAAAACTTCTACATGATTTAAAGGTTAAGATGTAAACAGGGTGGTTCAGCGGTTCAGAGTGGTTTGGTGTGAAACGCTCCGTTCTAGAGAAACTTACAGAGTCAGAACTGTTCACAGTGGTGGTGATAGGAACCAGACGTCCACCTCTAAAAGCTCCCTCACAGAAAGTTCCTACATGAAATGGTTATGAATTCACTGCCTGATGACTGAGACACTGTTTATGATAGTTTTGTGATAAAGTTTTGGCTTAAATGTGTTTTTCTAATCCATTCATGATGGAGGGACACATAATATGAGGGCGCTGTGAGGCAAAATAGTCCCCGAAGAAAACTGATTATTTCAGATTTTCCACTATTTTCCATCATCAACATTCCATATAAACTCAGAAGACTCGTGTAGGTTCACTGGTGGTTCTGGATAGTAAATAAAATGTCTATATTTGTGTTGTAGTCATGGCGACCCCTGGTTCCTATCACCACCACTGTAAAAAAAATCTGAACCATTTCACACCAAACCACTCTGAAGGAATGAAAAAAAGCCAAATGACACAAAAGCCTCAACCACTAACTCTAATCTCAGCTGTGTGAGTCAGTGAGTCACTCTTCACCTTTATTCCAGCTTCCGTTCTTTTCAGGAGACTCCCTTTCAGTTCCTCAAAGAATCTGCAGACACACTTCCAAAGTTCAGTCTTAGAAGTTGGTTGATCATTTTCTGCTTTTTGCGGTCCAAGTTATACCACTGCCCGAGCAATACCTTAGCAACCACCTGGGATACCTTAGCAACAGCCATGCAACTACCTGAGATTCCCCAGTAATGGCCTAGCAACACCTGGGGTGACATAGCAATACCTTTGCCACCACTTGTGATGCCATAATAATGGCCTAGCAACACTTTAGCAACCACCTGGGATACCATAGCAACAGCCTAGCAACACCTTAGCAGCCACCTGGGATTCCCAAAACACATTCAGTGGTGTTGAGGTCTGGACTCTGGGGTGGTCAGTCCATCGTTCAGCTTCTTTGTTTGATGTGTCCGTCTCCTTTTCTCAGTGAGGCTCTTCTTGATCAGCTACACATCCTTTCAGACCCACAGCGCTGAGTCGTCTTCTCACAGTGGAAGGATGGACAGAAACACCTGTGGATGTTTTCAGATCTGAAGCAGCTTGATTTTCTCCTCTCTCTCAGAGATGAAAGCTTTAAGTGCTGTTTATCTGATGGGGGCAGTTTTGGGGTCGACCAGCTCTTGCACAGTTTTAAGATTGGACGGATGAAACAGTTCAGTTTGTTGCACAAAAGTAAAGAATAGACAAATTAAATACTGATATATTTGATGTTCTGTTCAGTGGTTGAGGCTTCTGTGTGATTTTCTGTTAAATATATCTTTTCCCAATGCTGTAAATGAGTAACTTGTCCTTAATGGCAGTTTTGACTAGAATTTAAATAAACGAACGGTGGTCCGTATATAATACTGTATAATCATCCCAGTACAAAAGCTCTGAAATATGGAATATTCACCAGCATGCATATATCAAAAATGAAGTGATTTCACTGCAGAATTTTAAAGTATTCAGTAGCCAAATGATCAGGAAGGTCAGTCAAACTAGATCACAATCAAAGTTAAACACACTGTAATATAGACTTTAACAAATGACACCAAAAAATAAAACACATCAGTATTAATTAGCTGACTGGCACCTAAATTATGTGCCTGTGTTATCCATGAAATATAAACATGAGATGAATTTCACCAAAAGCACTTAGATCAGATCAGGGATGTAGGAAACTGGACCAGGACATCCCTTATTATTTCTAATATAAAAGCCCTTAATTGAGCATGTTGCATAAAAAAGTGGAAATGTTTACATTGTGCTGATTCTGATTTTATGTACTTCATGAACTTTTTTTAATCACTTTGCCTTCTGCTGTTTGCATGTGTTTTATAAGCTGGTCTGAAATAAGAGCTTCTTATAATAATGAACCACTAAAATTACAGAATGACTTCAAATTTCCTTTTTTAATTTTCATCTTTTAGGGGGTTTGCGGTCTGTCGTGGAAGAACTGGAGCTTGAAAGAAATCAGCTGCAGGAACAGATCCTTGGTTTGGAGGAGCGATGTCAGGATCTGGAGGATCGGCTGCAGCTGCAGGCCCGAATCGAATCATTACAGGTACTTAGTTGCTGATTTATATTCATAATTGAGCGTCTGCGATGCTAGAGGGCAGTAAAGCTTTCGTCCACTCTGTATCTCCCACATACGCTCATGCAAGACTGACATCCTGCGACTTGAACTGTGAATCTACTCTCATGCTTTACTAATGTTAGAGGCCATTCTATTTATATCTATTTATATTTGTTGACCACTTGACCGACCAGTCCATCAGACGTCTTGTGGACGTCGCTGGTCACAAAACTGCTTCCATACGGGATCTTGCCAGTCTCCTCCACAAGGCTCCCATGGTGTTTCGTATCTTGTCTTCCCATCTTATATTTGTTAACACCAAAAAATTTGCATATGCTTTATCTAAATCCAAAAGATAATACATTTATAATAAATTTGGAGTGAGCAATGTTTCTTATTCTACCTAATCGCCCCCATTTCAGTACTTCGCCCACTTGGACTCATCATTTCTTCTCTGGGGAATCCCCGGCACAATCGTAAGGGCTGTTCCATTACTTTTTTAGCTGAAGTGAGAGGTGTTAGATGAGCCCTTGGAGGGGTGAGGGATCGAGCGAACACCAGTGTCGACTTCAGCAGCAGAACTTACCAGAAATCATTGACGGTTACTTTTCTGATCCCAAAATAGTGACAGGCAAAGCTGTTTGTAAGCTACAGCAAAAAAAAACTAAATCATCTGGAGTCGCCGAACATGCAGGTGCATCAAATTAGATGTTTCTCTCTGATACTATTAATATCTTTGTGATAATCCAACACAGAAATCCAGTTCAAACACTTCCTGAATCTGTAGAGTCACCCTTTCCATTCCATCTTATCACGAGACTCACATCCGGAGTTATGAGCCTATGAAGAGGGGCTGAGCTACATGTCAGACATGTGGAACTGGTGGATTCGTGTGTCCGTCTACGTTCTGTGTGAAACTGACCAATGGACACTAAATCACTAAGGACTGACCATCACGCCGGAAACCCTTCATTTTTTATTCAGTCGCCTCGGACACAGACGCGAGTGGTGGTTCAGGCCCAATTATCTCTTCACATGGCACTCCAGGTCAAAAGGGCCTCATTATAGAGAGAGCTGAGATTGTTCTGAACATTTTGATATATAACGTGGGTATCATGTCAGAGCCTTTAAAGGCTAATTTAAGAATATATACAAAAATATAAGTGGACGAGGGCAAATTAAAGCAAGAATTGAAACAGCACTCGGATTTGGCAGTGTGAAAATTTGACAAGCTTTTATTTTCTGGCTGAAATCAGACTTTCAATTTCTGTGTTGTATGTAAAGTAGGCACCTTTTTAAAGAACAGTTAAGGGAGTTTTTTGAAATACTTGTTATGGTTGGTATAGTGTAGTGGGTAACACCTCTGCCTTCTACGCTGTAGACTGGGGTTCAATCCCTGCCTGGGTAAACACTCTACACTATACCAATAAGAGTCCTTGGGCAAGACTCCTAACACCACCTTCACCCACCTGTGTAAAATGATCAGATTGTAAGTCGCTCTGGATAAGAGTGTTTGTTTATTAATGTTTATTAAATGGTGCAGCAGTTACATTCTGGCGCGTCAGAACTGCTGTCTGTTTAAGGTGGAACGGGAAAGCTAGCTAGCTACCGAGACGTTAGCATACTATTAGCGATTTTTTTATGCTTATTATGAAAAAAACAACCATAATACATTGAAACTACTTTAAACTAATATAATATCGTAATATTTAATGGAGAAAATTCTCAGATAAAGCTTAAGGCCCAATCCCATTTCACCCCTTCGCCCTACCACTCAGCCCTTCCCCTAGACGAGAATGCGCAAAACGGAGGGGTAGGGCTGAGTGGTAGGGCGAAGGGGTGAAGTGGGATTGGGCCTTAAGCTTTATTTTGGTCAAAAATGTTTTTGTGCTATTTTTGGTCAAAAATTTCAGTGCATCCCTGACATTTATTTTTTCTGACTGACTGACTGTAATTTGTAAATTGCACCCAAATCCTTCATGACTTTCCATATATGGTACATACAGTAATTTGCATGTGCTCTTTCCAAGAACTAGGATTTTGTAATGCACCCCTCTAACACAGGTGACCTTTGATGTAGGTGAAGAAGGTCGTCCGTTATGGGGTTCTCAGGTGTGTGTTTGTGTGTGTGCGTTTGTGTGTATGTTTTAGAGAAAATAAAGTGGCATTTAATCCTCAGGCTTGTTTGGCTTTGTTGAACTCACTGTCCGGCGTCTAGTCGTGTTTGGGTTTGCTGGCTTTGAATCTACTTCACAGGGTGTTTCACAAAATTAATAAGCTGAGATAAAAAGAGAAGTAATGTCCTGAAACGCCTGTGTGCTCTGCCTCTGCAGAACGAGTCCGAGAGACTGCAAGCTCAGCTGACCAGCCTGCGCACTCAGCAGAGCCGAGACGCTGAGAAACATCAGCTCCTCGTCACAAGTTTGAATGAACAGCTCAAAGGGTAACGTCTGCTTCTTACTCTCACCATGTTTTAGTCCCTTAAACTGCAGCCTTATTACTCAGTTAGGCTACATTTAAACAGCAGGTAAAAGTGGCCCAAATCCGATCTTTTTCCTCATATGTGAGACAGATGTGTGTCTGTGTGTCAGTGTGAACAGATAAACACACTGAATCTGGCATTTTCAATTCCGATTTGAGACGCTTATGTGGTACTGAAATCCGATACGTATCCGATCTGCGGCAGTGTGACTCAGCCTGAACAGCCGGATCAGAATTCATGTGACTTTTGCATCAATCCAACTTGACATTCATCGTAATTTCACGCTGCTGAGACTCATAAACAGTTAGGCTGATGTTTCTGTACCAAAAAATTAGACGAGACTTATTGCAGATGCTTCGTGTTCGAAGAGATTTCGAACGAAACAGCCGAACGTTATATACGTTCTTTAGTTTCAAGAGAGGAACTGAAATGTGAAGTGGTTTAACAACTTGAATTTCATTGGAGCACTGAATTAATCTTAATTAAGCAGTGGCTGTCGTCGTCCATGACTCATATTATTAGTAGAATGATACCGTAAAACTGTCCGTCATATTGAACATATGGGCCGAAATATCATGTTTCAGCTGTAAGAAAAACATCAGCAGTATCTACATTTGTACAGTGCCTTTAAAACGAATACTTAACTTAGTCTGAGTAATGACTCTGCTTACATCATGATCATTTAATTATGCAGAAATTTAGAAAAATCGGTGGAGTTCCCCTTTAACACAAACCTATCAAAACTATGAAAACTTTAATATTTCATTAAAGCGTTAAAAATAAACTAATAATGAGCTTCCTTTGTGGAATTATGGCCTGGCTCCTCTTACATGTAAATGTACACTCTTATAAATGACAGTTCTTCAGCGGTTCTTTAGTAAAGTAAATGGTTCTATGTAGAACCATGAACACTCAAAGAACCCTTTACACGATTAAATGGTTCTTTACCTCATGAAACGGTTTTTCAGATTGATGGAGGATGTGCTGTAGATGGTTCTATATAGAACCTTTTTGAAAAGCGTTCTTTATAGCACCAAAAGTGTTGGTACGAGGTCAGGCTTGAACCCTTTTTGGTGCTGTACAGAACCCTTTTCAAAATGGTTCTATGTAGAACCATCTACAACACATTCTCCATCAATCTGAAGAATGCTTTAATGATGCAAAGAACCATTTAATCATGTCGAGTGTTCTTTAGTAAAGAAAATGGTTCTATGTAGAACCGTGAGCACTCAAAGAAGAACCGTCTTTGGATGTAGGTTACCGTCATTGTAATGGAATCACTGTGAGTGCAAAAATAATTAAATTTTTATAGAAACAAAATGTGCTTGTAATTTCACGGAAGCTGAAAGTTGAACAAGCTGTTTGGGTAAAAACACATTTCTGACCAAAAGGTCAACATTGGAAGAAAATGTCCTGACTTTCTTCACTAATAAATCACAAAGAAGTGACGAATTAATCAGCAGATGAAAAGTAATTCTGTTGGATAATTTACAGGTGGCTCAGTTAAGCCAAATACTGAGAAATACAGGGCAATTCAAAAAGATTTATCCGATTTCAAAATGATTTATTTCACTTGTAAATCATTATAGAACAATAAAGTAAACTCTAAATGGTTTAAATGAGCATAAAGTTTATTGTGTAATTTTACAAGAAACTCTATGACCCCCTCTTTCAGTTGGATTGTGATTGGTTCCTAGGCGCTTCACGGTTGTAAAAATATGGCACTTTGAAATTGGATGAATCTTTTTGAATCACCCTGTATTTCTGTTTTTGAACTTGGTAATTAAATTGGCACATTGATCTTGGCAGTTGAATTAAATACCTGATAAATAAATGTGTAAATCAGGCTAAGCAGCACACAGGAGTGTCTGGAGTCGTCGCTCATGGAGAAGGAGCACACGCTGGCCAAAACTTCAGAAAAGCTAGAGCTCATCGACGGCCTGAAAGATGCCCTGAGAGAGAAGGAGGAGCAACACAAAGAGGTTTCTGACAGGCTGCTCCAGACTGAACACAGTGTAAGTAACACTGTACTTCTCTGAGCTTAAGATTAATCTTTGTATTTTTAATTGTTAATGCATAATTATGATGTTTTTTTCTTTATTTAGCTGGCTGAGGTGAGCAAGAAGTGCAGTACGTTTGAAAAGCAGTGCTCGGAAATGAAAGCAACTGTTGCAGAATTAACACAGAAGCTCGGTTTGCTGAAAGAGAAGGTAAGAATTTGACTTTTTGTGATCAGTGTTTACTTGTGAAAATAATTGACCAGTAACAGTGGACAAGCTCAGAAGGTAAAAAGGGATGGGAGTAAGGGGCGGAGCCTCAAAAAAGCAAACCTTGATGCATATACCTTCAACGGTCACAATTCTAAGTGTAAAAATCCAAAATCTTTGTTTATTAAAATTGGGTTTAAACCAAAATTGAATTACCAACTTTTTTTTCTTGTACGCTCTTAAAAAATGTTTTTTCAAAAGTTATTTAGAAAAGAAAATGGCTTTATATAAAACGATGAACACACAGAACGCTTGGCATGATTAAAGGATTTCGGATAGATGGAAAATGTGCATGAATGTGCTTTAGATGGTTCTAGACAGAACCTATCTGAGAAGGGTTCCATATAGCACCCAAAGGCTTGATATCATAACAATAGAAGAACGCTTTTGAGTGCTATATAGAACCCTTATCAAAAAGGTTCTGTGTAGAACCCCATCTATAGCACATTCGCCATCAATCTGAAGAACCGTTTCACCATGCAAAGAAGCCTTTAATCATGCATATGGTTCCTTGAGTGTTCATGGTTCTATATAGAACCACTTTCTTTACTAAAGAACCCTTGAAAAACCTTCTTTTTTAAGAGTTAAACCAGAAAAGAGCATTTTGCATTGGTGAAGTATAAAAATCTCGCCGTCATTCAGTAAACAAATAGACAGATTTCAGTTACATTTGGTTAAAATTTAATGATGCATTGAACTGTTCCTAGTTAATTCATTAACATTCCTTTCAAATACTTTTATTTGTCGTTTTCAGACGCAGAAACAAGAAGCCACAATAGAATCTTTGCAGAGCGATTTGGATCAAACAAATGATGAGCTGGACAAGCTAAACACTACACATTTAGAAGAAAGAGCACAGCTTATTCATGATCTCCAAAGCTGCGAGCGAGAGATCGACAACCTCAAAGACCTCATCACAGAGAAGGACAAGGAGATTTCTGCTCTTTCTGGCAATATGGCAGAGTATGCTGACGAAATCCATGAGCTTAAACAGGAGATAAAGCAGAAGGAGGAGGAGCTTGTTCGCACGGAGAGTGCCCTGACCAAAGCAGAACAGGAAGCTCGAATCATTAAAGAATCACAGTCTTCAGATCAGCAGTCGCTTAATGTGAAGATAGCTGAGCTGATGGAGCAACTGAGGGTTGCTGAAAGTGATCTAAACGAGGCCAGACAAGAGAAAGAGTCAAAGGTGGACGAAATTAATGACCTGACAAGGCAGGTGGAGGAGGACAAGTCCACCATAAATGATCTCCGCTTGGAAATGCAGAAGCTCAGTACGAGTCAGCGCAATCACCTCTCAGAATGTGAAGCTCAGATTTCTTCGTTGAAGGAACAAGTACTTGTGGCCACTCAGAAACTTCAGGAGTCTGAAGATGTTCTCTTACAGCTGAAGGAAACTAAGAGTTCAGATGAGAAGCTTAAAGAACAAATGCTGGACAGGGAGCAAACGTACGAAAAAGAAATGAAATCACTCAAGGAGGAACGGAACAAGCTCCTAGCAGAGGTCACGAAATATAGCAGCGAGCTTCAGTCTCTATCCAGTCAGCTTCAGGCACAGGTTGAGTGCCAAGAGCAGGTCAAACTGGGGGTCCAAGGGAAGCTGGAGACCATATCATCCCTGGAGCAAAGGCTAAAGAAAGTGGAAGAAGAAAAGCAGGCACTGAATGCAGAACTCAAAACCAGGGATGACACTAAAGAAAAACTGGAAAAGGAACTATCTGAGAAAACTGAGAGGGTTTCAGAGTTAGAAGACCGTTTGCAATCGCTGAAAAGCGAAAGCTCAAGTCTACAAAAAGCTTTGGAGGAAAGTTCTCAGGAGCTTAAGATTCAAAAGCAGCTTTTGCTTGAGGTTCAGGAAAAATTAGATATCGTGCAAAATGAGAATAGTAGTTTGCAGTCACAGGTGAAAAGTCTCACAGAAGAGAATCAAAGTTTTAAGCAAGAAATTGAAATCAAAGTTCAGTCACTGTCTCAGATTTCACAAGAAAGAGACACATTGCTGAGTAAAATATCCAGCCTTGAAATTCAGCATGTGGAATATGAGAAATCAATTGAGGAACTAACTAAAGAAAAAGAAGAGCTAAATGTTAGAACATCTGAGCTTAATAACATCCTTGAGCAAAACAAACAGTCTCTCTCTGAAGATCTTTTAGGAAAGACTAGTGAGTGTAATAACCTCAGAAAGTTGCTGGAAGAGAGCGAAGGAACAGTTACACGTTTACAAAACCAAATCGAAGCCTTAAACACTCAGGTTGACGAACTAAACTGTAGAATAGCAGAGAAAGAGAAAACTGTAGGTGAGCAAAGTGCACAAATAGATGCCCAGCAGAACCAAGTTCTACAACTCCAGGAGACTCTGACTCTGCTTCAGGAGCAAGGAGCCGCTCTGAAATCTGGACTGTTGGAGAAAGATACGCTGCTGCAAGACAAAGTTTCTCTGTTCACTTCATTACAGAGTGAACTCGACCAGCAAAAAGAGCTTTTCTCCAAACTTCATGGCGAGTGTGACTCACTTAGAGATGAATGTACGCAACTTGGTCGAAGCCTTCAAGAAAATGAAGCCGCCCTCAGTGAGAAGACCCATGAGTGTCAGACGCACCTGGATGAACTTAGCAAGAAGAATGAGTCAGTCGCTTCTCTCGGCAGTCAGTTGGAGAAAGTCAGTGAACTTAAGGTGAGACTGGAGACTGAAAATGCTAACATGAAAAAGTCTCTGGAAGACCTGCTGACCAATAGCAGCAAGGCTTCCGATGAAATGACTCAGAGACAGGCTGAAATTGTTGGTCTTCATAGTCATATTCAGGCACTGAGTGGGCAAAACCAACAGATACGAGCAATGTATGAACAAAAAGAGAAAGAACTAGAGGGAATCAAACAGGTTTTGTCTGAAATGGATCAAAAGGTAGCTTCAACACTAGAAAAGAATGAAAACCTGGCTTCTCAAATCTCCGCTCTTACTGAGCAGAATGGTCATCTTCAGAAAGAAAAGACTGACATGGTTAAATCACTGGCAGAGGTAGCAGAAGAAAAGACCTCATTATGTGAGAAAGTGTCTGGGCTTGAGATGCAGCATTCAGAAAACCGTAAAATCATAGACGCCTTGCTCAAAGACAAAGAAGGTCTGTCTTCAAGGTTAGAGGAGCTTAGCAAAGTTAGTGAGCAGAATCGTCAGTCTTTTGACGGAAGCTTACTTGAAAAGACCAGTGAATGTGCATCTCTCTCACAACAGCTAAGTGAGAGTGAGGAGACAGTGAAACTTCTAAAGGAACAAGCTGAAACCTCAGTTTCCCAGTTTAATGACCGCTTGATTGAAAAAGAGCAGTTGATTCTGGATCAGAGCAAACAGATTGAGGGTTATCAGAGCCAGCTTGCTCAACTCCAGGAAACTCTTTCATTACTTCAGGAGCAGGGTAGCGCTCTTAAGTCAGGACTTATGGAGAAAGATGCTTTCATACAGCAGCAGTCTAAGGAATGTACTTCCTTGCAGGGCGAACTTGATCATCAGAGAGAGCTTTACGCAAACCTCCAGACTGAGAACGAGACCCTGAAAGGGGAATGTTCGAGATTGCATCAAGTTTTGAAAGAGAAAGAAAGTGCTCTGGAGGGGAAGATTCTTGAATGTCAAAATCACACTGATGAGCTCAGCAAGAGAAACGAATCCGTTCTTTCACTCAGTGGTCAGTTGGGTACCATGACTGAAAATATTGTGAGGCTTGAATCAGATCTGAAAAGTTCGTTGGAGAGTCACTTAGCAGAAAGTGCTACGCTGAGAGAGGAACTGACACTGAAACAGGCTGAGATAGTGAATCTTCAAGATAACATTCAGGCACTCAATGAGGCGAATAATACAATGAAAGCCGAGGTATCCAAAAGACTAGAGGAGGTGGCTGCTCTTCAGAGTGACTTGGCCAACAGGGACTTGAGTGTGGCATCTTTGACGCAACAGTTATCGACACTGAGCTCAAACACAGAAGCCTTGCAGCTTGAGTTGCAGCAAAGAGAGGAATCCTTTAGGCAACAGGAGGCATTCTTGAGTCAGTTGCAGGCCAAATCTGTTGAGGGTGAAGATCAGATCAGCCAGAAAATGGAAGCTATTGCTGAGCTACAGAAGGAGGCTCAAAACTTACAAAAGGCACTGCAGGAGAAAGATTTGCTGTTGCTCAAGAAAGATCAGGAGATCACACTGCTCAGTGAAAAGATTGCAGCAGAATCAGAAGCATCTAAAGCTCGAATGAACTCTGACATGGATGTCATCTCTAAATTACAGGGAGAGCTGCAGATATTGCTTGAAAAGAATGACTGTCTTACTGGTTCGGTAGCTGAAAAAGATGTTCTATTGAGGCAGGAAATGGACAAGTATCTGAGCTTGAAGACTAGTGCTGCCAACCTTGAAGACACAGTTTCCCAACTGAATTCCGAAGTTCAGAGGTTATCCTCAGAGGCAGCACAGCTCAGGACAGCGCTAAGTGAGAAAGAGCAGGTCATTCTTGATATTGGCAATAGTTCCTCATTAGAGGTCACCAGCCTAAATGAAACCTTGAAAGCCAAAGATTTAGAGAACGAAAACCTAAGACAACAGTTGATAGACCTCCAAGAATCTGTTTCAGTCTTGAATACTAGCCTTAGTGCCCAGTCTGCAGAAGTAACAAGCCTGAAAGCAGCTCTGGAAGAAAGTAGGTGTACCGTGGTGGATCAAAACAAAGCTCTCCAGGATCTTCAGCGGAAGACTGATGAGGCCGCTTTGTTCAAGGATCAGTTTGTGGAAAGTACAGAACTGGTGTCTCAGCTGCAAGGCCAGGTTCAGGAGCTCCGAGAGGAATCATCCAGGCTTTCCACAGCAATAGAACAAAAGCAAAGTGCCTTAATAAACCTTCAGGATAAATTTGCCTCCCAAGCAGAAGAACTTCAGGAGACCAAGACCTTGCTCTCCCAGAAAAGTGAAGAAATATTGAACCTTAACCAGGCTATCAGCGAGCGTGAGGAAAAGATTCACGCTGACGAGAACAGCATCTCAGCTCTTAAGCAGGAGTTGTTGATGTTGCAGAATGAGATCCAGGAGCTGCGTGTGTTGAATGCTAACATTTCAAAACAAAAGGATGATGCATTAGCTTCCCATCAAATAAATGCTGACTCTCTGATGATTGAAATTGAGAGACTAAAAGCACAGCACCATCAAGTTGCAGCACAGGTTAATTCTCTAACTGAAAATCTTGAGCAAAGGGAATTGGCTCTACATGCTATTAACAATCAGTATGCTGCTCAAGTAAAACATACAGAACAGGTAGTGTCAGAAATGCAGAAATTGAACGAGCTTAATTCAAGACTTCAAGAAGAATATCACTTGACCAAGCAGGAGCTAGGTAAAGTCAACAGCGAAAGAGCACTAAAGGAAGAGGAGGTCGGCAAATTGGTTCTGGAAAAAGAAGAGCTCAGTAGGAATCACAACTACCAGATTCACAGGTTGCAAGAACAGCTCCAGTCCAGTAGCATGAGTGAAGTGGTGGAGAAAATGAAGGCAGAGACGGAGCAGCTCCAGGTCCAGGTTAGTGCCAAAGATGAAATAATCAACGGATTGAAATCCGAAGTTCAAAGAATTGAACAAACTCTTCAGGAGTCTGAAAAAGAGTGGCTGTCAGTTCTCGATAGGGAAACACAGGCTAAGAATATCCTTGCTGAGCAACTCCAAGGAATCGAGAATGAGCTGATGACTAAAGATAGTAAAGTGCATGCCCTGAAACAAGACCTAGATAATTTGAATGAAAAATTGAAAGAAGCTACGTTGGCCATTAAGCAAGGCTCAGAGAAGCTTAAGGAGAAAGAATTAGATGCTTTAGCAAGTAGAAGCAAATTCGAGGAGATTTTATCAACTGTTCAAGCAAAAGAAAATGAGAATGTTGCTTTGAGACAGGCCCTGCATGATATGGAAATTGAGTACAGACAATTGGAGGAAAGTAAAGAGAGTAGTCAGAAAGATGTATCACTTTTGTCACAGTCTTTGTCAGATAAAGTAGTGGCTTTTGAAGAAGAGAGGGTCTCTCTCCAAACCGCAATTAGACAGTTGCGAGAAGACAGTCAGTCTGAGGTATTTTCCCTTAGAAAGGAATTAGCTAAACTAAGTAGGGAACTAGAGCAAAAGCAAGTAGAATGCCTAGAAAATGAAAGGGACAGTAAAGACAAGAGTGCAAAGATTACTTTATTGGCTGAAAGTGTTAACAGTCTCCAAGAAAAACTAATGACAGAATCAGAAAACCTCAAAGAGGCCAGTGTAAAACATGATGCGCTTCTTGCTGAAATTCAAAAGCGAGATGAGCAAATCGGTTGTATGACCATTCAGATCAGTCAGCAGAAAGATCTACTGACTGGACTCAGCCAGCAGTTGAAAGAGAGAGATGCCTCAGTCACACAGGTGGTTGCATCAGCCTCAAATGAAAGGATAAAACATGAGGAACTGAGAAACGCTTTGCTTTTACAACTAGAGGAGACAAAAGCACATCTGTGTCTTTGTCAGAGTCAAATGGAAAATATGGAAACAGAAAAGAAGGGTTTGACCAAAGAGAATGAAGATCTTAAATCTGATATCAGCAAACTGGCAAAAGAAAAAGAGGCCATGAAGAAAAAGCTTCAAGCTGCACTAGTTGTCAGAAAGGAATTGCTAAAGAAAATAGAGGAACATGAGAACCAAACCGCACAGAATGCAAAGAATGGAGTCGAAATCTCAGCCATGCAGGTTAAATTGGAAGAACTGATGGCACAAAGGATCACGGTCACAAAAGAGCATGATGCAGCTGTTTCTGATCTTAGTCACCAACTCGAACAGAAAGACAGTAAAATCAGTGCGTTATCTCTGCTCATCTCAGATAAAGAGCAGACCATTGTACAGTTGGAAGGGGATGCCAGATGTTTACAAACCAAGTTAAATGAACAGGATGCACTTCTGACTGCCACACTCCAGAAACTAGATGAACAGAAGCACTTAGTTGACCAACTTCAAATTACCATGAATGAAAAAGATGTTGCTTATCAACAAGAGAAGCAGGAACTGCTGGTGAAACTGGACCAACTTAAGAAAGACGTCACAATGTCAGATGAAAACACAATTGAAGAATTAGGAAGCGAGTTGGCCAAGATAAAGCACGAGAAAGAAGCGCTTCAAAAGAAAGCTCATGCCGCATTGTTGGCCCGCAAAGAAACGATAAAAAAGTCTCAAGAAAGTGAGAGAAAGTATACTGAAGAGCTTCGTGGAATCCAGGATATGTACAAAACTCTTCAGGAGCAGCACAGCCAACAAACAGATGAGCTCTGTGCTATCCAGACGAGCTATGATCTCAAGGTTCAAGAACTGGAAGATGCCCTTCAGAGCTCAGAGTGTCTACAAGGAGAGATGGAGGCCCTGAAGAGGAATGCTGAAGAAAGAGAGCGAATTATACAAGATTTAAGAGAGTCCTTAACTCAACAAGAAACGCAGTCAGCACAAACATCCTCATCACTTCTTGAAGAGTTAGAGTGCCTTAAAGTTGAGTTGGAGAAGATAACCTCAGAGAAGTCCCAGAAAGACCAACTACTGGCGGATGCGCAAGAAGTTGCTGAAAAAATGGTGCGTATGGGATCTGAACATGATAAAGAGATCCAGGAGAAGAATGAAGAAATTGCAAGGCAGATGGCTTACATTCAAATGACTGAGCAGCGGCTTGAACAACTGCAGCAAGATATGACCAAACTACAGTCTCAGCATCAGAACCAAGTGGATACACTTAATGCATCTCTTGAAGAGCTTACTTCTAGTTTGAAAGCTTCTGAAAGTGATAAATCTAAGATAACTAATATGCATGATAAAATTGAACAACTTGTTGAAGAAAGGAATCTTTTAAAGATGGAGTTGGCATCTGCATTACAAGACGTAGCTCAGAAGTCAGAGGAACTACTCGCCTTGCAGAACACAGTAACTGTAACACAGCAGCAGCTTTCGCAGGAACATCTCCAATGCCAAGAGTCAAGGTGTGAAGTTGAAGCATTGAAAGCACAGATGGAAACACTACAAAGAGAAAAGGAGAATTGTATCTTGGGATTTGAAAAATCCAAACATGATGTTGCACTTCTTGAGTCACAGCTAAAACAACTTGAGGAGCAAAACAAGGAGCTGCAATTTAAATTCGAATCAAAGGACACAATGGTTTCTTCAGATGAGCCAGTTATACAGCCTCAAAAATCTGAGGTCACCTACAACCAACAGGTGTCAGATTTTAAGGCAAGTGAAAGTTGTCTTTTAGAGTTTCAAGCCCTGCTCACAGAGAAGGAGGAGCTTATATCTGCTCTAGAACAACAACTACAAAGACAAATTCACCTCCATGAGGTTGAGATGGAAAAAATGAGAATTGAAGTCAGTGAGCTTCAACAAAAACCAGCAGAATCTACAGAAAATAAATCAGTAGAGCAGCTAACAAAGAAACTTCAAGCAGCCTTAATCTCCCGTAAAGAGCTCATGAAAGAGAATCGGGCCATCAAGGAAGAAATGCAGAGAGTGTCGGCATGGAACGAGAAGATACAAACCGAAACGTTAGCTCTTGAAAGAGTTGTTTCTGAATTGAAACAACAGAAAAAAGATCTAGAAAGTAGTGTTTCCGCCCTGAGTGCTGAAAGGCAGAACCTTTCTGCAGATGTGGATCGAATTCTGAGTGATAATCACAACCTGTCAGCGGCTTGTGAAAGCCTTAAACTCACTATCGAGAACATCACCCAGCAGAAGCAAGCCTTTTCATGCCAGCTTGAATCCCTGAAAGACTCCCAGACAGAGGAGCTCTCTGAGTGGAAATCCAAGCATGCAGATTTGAAACAGGAGTATGAGTCTCTTTTGCAAGCGTATGAGAACGTCAGCAGTGAAATGGATAAGATGAGGCAGCTTCTTGAAGGAGCAAAGAGGGAAAGACAGGAAGCTCTTTTGAAGACTCATAAATATGAATCAGAACTGGACAGTCTTGGAAAGCAAGTTGCCGAACTGGAAGATGAAAATGACAAAATTAAAGAAAAGATGAGAAAGTTTGCCAAGTTAAAGCAACAAAAGATTGAAGAACTTGAAGAGGAGAATGAAAAGATCAGACAAGACTTGATCTCTTTTGATGACGAGCAGAAATGCACTGTTGATGAACTGACCCTGAAAAATAATCAGCTGGAAAGCGAAATAAAGGGTCTGCAAGAATTATCTGAGGGGCTCAGAGAGAAGATGTGTGAACTTCAGCAGGATAACCAGAACTTGGCACAGGAACTGAAAGAAACAAGCTTGTCCCTAGAGAAGTGGCACATGGAATCAAAAGCAACTGAGAGTAATCTGCAACTCAAACTGAATGAGGCTTTCAATTTGAATAATACTTTCACAGCCCAAATAGAGGCCCAAAAAGCAGACATATCTGCTCAAAATGAAATGATTGATTCCGTACAAAAGGAGAAGTTGAATCTTTTTGAGAAATTAAAGCAGGCAGAGAAAGACCATGAAGTTGAGCTCTTTGACCGAGACAAAACTATAGCAGACCTTCAAAATGTCATTGAAGGAAACAGACAAGAAACCATAAGCCTAAATGAAAAGGTTAGGATTTTGGAAGATGACAAATGTCTGTTGCAAGAGGAACTTGAGAACGTCCAAGAAACATCTGACAAAGTGAAAAATGAAAATGAATATTTGGAGACAATGCTTCTTAAAAATTCTGAAAGAATTGATGAATTAACTGAGGCAGTGAATATCTTGCAAACTCAAAATATGCAGCTCTCTGCTCAACTAACGGAAGTGAAGGAGGAGAAGGCAAAAGTTTGCAGAGAAAAGGAGGAACAGCACCTGAAACTTGTGAAAGAATTCGAGGACAAGCTCAAAACACTGCAAAGAGGCACTGAAGGCTCCAAAAATATGAAAAAGGAACTTCAAGAACTGCTGAAAGAGAAGCACCAAGAGATCAACCAGCTTCAGCATGACTGTATCAAGTACCAGGAGTTGATTTTGAATCTTGAAAGGTCGTTGAAGCACTCTCAGACAGAGCACCAACAAGTGGAGAAGGAGCTGAGAGAAATGAGTGAGAAGGTTGCTAATTTGCAGAAAGAGAATGGGAGTCTTGAAACTGAGCTAAAAACACTCAAGAACATCCTTAATGACACTACGAAGGCCTTGGCCAAAGTAACCTCTGAAAAAGACCGTCTTCTCCAAGAGGTGACCAAGAGGCAACAAGAGTCAGAATTCGAGTCAATGGAGAAGAAGAAATCTTTGGAAAAACTAACTGAACAACAGCAGGCTCTTCTTAAAGAACAGCGTGTTGAGCTGCAGAAGCAGATCAGTGACTTGCAGGAGCGTAACGAGAGGGAAGTTAAAGTTATAGAATCATTACAGAAACAAGTGGAGTCCAAAGATTTGCAAGTTAGAACTCTGCAGAGAGAGGCAGAAACGAATTTGGCCAAACTAGCCATACTCAGTGTAGATTCAGACAGAAATGATGCTGCAAAGCAGTGGGACAATGTCTTTCAAAAAGCCTTGCAAGATAAAGACAGCCAGCTTCTTGAACAAGGCTTTGTTATTACTCGGCTGTTAGAAGACAATAGGGCAAAAGGTAGAGCTCTAAACGATTTGCAGATTGCCAACAAGAAATTAGAGAGGACATTGAATGAATATTCAGTAGCAGCCTCAGCACATCAGAGACAACTCTTCGTACTGGGTGCAAGCAATACTGAACTCAACCAAACCGTTGAAATACTTACTAAACGGTTGTCGGAACAGAGTGCCTTGGTTGAAAGATTAGAAAGCGATAAAAGCACACTAGTCAAACAACTCGATGAGCAAACCTATTCAGTCTCTCAGCTGCAGTCCAATCTTGAGCATTCAGAAAAAGTATTGACAAACACACAGACACAGTTTCTTTTAGTCCAGTCTCAATACAGCAAGCTTCAAGTTGACCTTGAGAGACAAGAAGCCATTTCATTGCACTTGAAATCTCTTCTTCAAAACAAAGACAGAGAGATATCCTCTTTGTTATCCTCTAAGGATGGGCAGGTATCCGGGTATATAGAGCAGCTTCAGGCTAATCATCGTGCCCAGGTAGCCGGGTATGAGAACAGGTTAACTGACCTCTATGTCAAGCGAGAGAGTGCCGAGAAAGAGCTGAGGTCATTTGAAAGCAAAGTTCGAAATCTCCATGCCAGGTTAGACAGATCTGCTCAGGAGAAAGATCAAATGATGGCAAACATAAACTCTTTAAGGAACTCCATTGCATCTTTGCAAACTGAGAAAGAACGTCTGGTATCAGAGGTCAGCCAAAGCCGGGAAAGGGTCAGAGAGGGCTCAGCTGAAGGCAGCCTTGGTGCAACCAAGGGTTTGAAAGAAGAGATCAAGACTCTACTTCATCAAATGGATGACCTTAATTCAGAGAATGCCATGCTCAAAGCACAACTCATCAGATACAGGGAGGATTTAAACCAGGTGTTATCCCTCAAAGACAACCAACTGAAAGATCTTCTGAAAAAGCAACAAGATTCGATAAAGAACCTTGAAAACCAGAAAAGATCAGTTGAAACGCAGCATCGTGATGCCCTTCTGGAGGTGCAGAAAGAAGCAGAGGAAATCAAAGCCTTAAAAGATCAAAATTCAAAACTACAGTCTCAGGTACAGGAACTGGAGGACAGTTTGTTGGCCTTACATAAAGATCGTCTGGAGACAGATGAGAGCAAAGTGATTGCTGACCTGCAACAGGCTGTGGCAGTCAAAGCTGCCGAATGTAACGAACTTCAGCAAAAATTGTTTGCCCAAAAGATAGCTACGGATGACTTGAACAGAAGCCTGAAGGAAGCGATGAATGAGTCTGAGAGAAAATTAGCGGAGGCAGAAGAAAAGTACAATAAAGAATTGGATGCCTTTGAGCGGGATGTCGACCTGATGAGAAATGAAAGAGAAATTGCAGAGCAGAGGGTCGCAGATTTGGCCAGAGACTTGATGCAGACGGAGCAGCAGTTATCCGAGGCTACAAGTCTCAACAAGAACCTGAAATCACAAAACGAATCACTTGGGAAAGCCATGGCAGCATTGCAGAATGACCGTGATCAGCTCATTGACGATTTCAAGATTTTACGCAGCAGATATGATGAGGAACTCAGAGAAACTACGGCATCTATGAATAGATTTGAGAGACAGCTGAATGATGCCACTTCAGAACTATCAGCTCTTGCGTCGGAGAAGCATGTGCTTGTCCAAAAGCTTTTGGCATTCGAAAGCACCAATCCACAACCTCAGTTATCCGGGCTGGTGAACGACCTCTCGCAAGCTGTTTCGGAAAAAGAGGCAGAACTTAAACAACTCTCTTTGCAGAACAACTCCTATAGCAGGCAGGTTACAGCGTTCTCCAAAGCCATGGCCAGTTTGCAGACTGACCGAGACAGGCTGGTGGAGGAGCTCAGAAGGGCCAAGAGGGAATTTGAGGGCAGACAGCAGTCGAGTCCCGATATGATCACTTCTATCAAAGCAGAAGAGTCGAATAGCCTTAGCGTCAGTGTTGATGCCCTTCAGACTGAGAGAGATGGCCTGGTGAGTTCTAGGCTGTGGCTTTGAACAGATTCAGTAATGTTTGTGGCATGTCGGCATTTGCTAATGGCATGTGGTCCTTGGTTGATGTGCTTTGACGTGGCTTGGCTTTGACCTGTTCAAGCATGGAATATTGTGTTAACAAATCTCAGTGTTTGGGGGTTTGGCTTGTTGTGTGTTGTGTTCTTTTTATTCCTAAAGAGAATCTCTTCTTTTCTCACCAGCGCAAGGAGGTTGTGAACTTGAGGTCCCAGAACACAGAGCTGATGGAGCTGAAGCAGAAGTACGATGACCAGCAGAGAGAGCTCCAACAGGCAAAAGCTCACAAGTTGCAGTGCGAGAGAGATATTAGCGGGTACCAAGCAGAACTGGCAGAGCTGAGGTAAGTTTCACATCAAGTCTTGTTCTAATTAAAACCAAATAGAGCTTTGGTTTCGGGCTAGTATTGCTTGTGTATTTCATTTTGTTGCAGTAGACCAGTCACACTGTCATGTAGCTGTGATCAGTTTTCCAGCACTCTAAATAAACATCCAGAACAAAAAACTGTTTGTGGTATAAAAGATATTGTGAACCTATAACCCTTGATTCCTAAATCTGAGTTCTTTTTGATAGTTAAAGCTGGTGGAGGCGTAGCTATATTAGCACTGCACGGCATAGCCATGCCCCTCATCTTCACAGGTCATTTAGCTTTGCAGCTTTGTAAAGATTCACAATCAATAAGTCCGGACTTGAATCCAGACTAGAACTATTTCCATGGACACTCTGCAGAAACAGAAAACCTGAGCTAAGATAGGCTGTCTGTAATAACTAATACTGCTATAGTTGCTGTAAAGGTAGCTCACTTTACAGTGTAGCAAAATGTATATTTCTCAAAGTTAGTTGAAATATTCGGAGGTAATTTTTTTCTGATGACCCATGGGATAATCTTTTATCTGATCTAATCGATTTATTCCTCCGGACAATTGCAAAAAGTGTTCCAGTTTCAGGCAGGTATTGGACGATTGTCTTCCCAGACTGGTCTGTGGTGGGAGGCATGAGTAATCCAATCTGTTAAATGTTAGAGATCATTAACTCATCATCATCACAGCACAATACAACTCCACGGTTCCCACAGCTAGCTGGGGGATTTCACTGACCATGGTTTAGAGTCACTTAGCTGGCCTGGAAAGTGTCCTTCTCTGTGGGGAAAACTCTCACACTGAAACTGCAGTGCATCACAGAGGAGGCCGGCCCGGGAGGCCTCAAAGGCTGAAAATGTCCTTAGCCGCGAAGGGGCAGCATTTTCCTACAGCTGAACATCACCGGTCCAGGTAGCTTCATAGCTGAAATGCAGTGTCTCCCAAGTGCAGCCGTGAGCTGTGACGTAGCGTCGCTTAGGCAGCTGGCCCGAGAGGCCACATAGCTGTGGCGTAGCGTTGCTCACGCAGCCGAACACTGCCGGTCCAGGCAGCCCCTCAGCTGCAGTACAGCGTCAATCAAGCAGCCAGCCCAGGCTGCTATGTCACATCTATCAGGTCCCCAATCCAGAGAACCTTGTAGCCTCAATGCAGCATCACTCAAGCGGCAGGTCCAGGCTGCATCATAGCTGTGATGTAGCGTCACCCAAACAGCCAGCAAAAGAAGCCTCTTAGCCACAGCTAGAAAATCGCTCTCAGCCGCTATCTCTTGGATATCTTGGCAAACTTCTCAGCCAGCAGGGAAACATCACAACATACACACAAACAGTACAAAAAAAATGAAACACTGACATAAAGTGGTAGCCATATTGTGCCAGCGTACTTACAGCAGAGCACACACGCACATATCAACTATTGCGAGCTGAGCTGAATGGAAGGTTAATCATTTTATCCAAATCTGCACTGTAAAAAACAAATAAAATACATTCTCTAACGTTCTTATGCTGCTTCACACAATTCACACAAGCTGCACAGTCATCTGTGCCTCGCTGTTACCTGCAATGGTTGGTTTGATCTAAAGTCAGGTTTGTTCAGGAGAACTTTGGTAAGATCTCACATTCTTAGATACAGGGCCGTTCTTCAGCGGTCGGGTTCTTCAGCATAATCTGAAAATGTGGTGTTTTGTTCTGGGTAAATCTTGTAGTGTGGGGGGTCTTTGATGCCTGAGGGCAGCTAAAGACAAATCAGTGGAGTCTGTCATTGTGTGAAGTCTCCCATTTTCAACAGCGATTAGTATTATGAAAAATTCAGTATTATTTTAAAATGTTGAAAATAATATAATTAAGGAATACGTACAGTGCGTTCATTACCACATGCTTATACTGGGTGAAGAGTGGTCTGTTTACCAGGCAGAACAGGATATGCTTAACTGAGTTCATACTCAGCACCTCTCATCAGAGATTACAGATAAAAATCCCTCTGCCTCCTGTCGGCACAAGATGAATTTGGTGCTTGCAGAGAGTTGCCATAGACTTTCCTTTCCTGTGTTATGCAGCAAATGCCATTTGGGTGTCGTGTTTCTGGGGCTGACAGCGCTCCTCTTCAGTAGCTAAGTAAATCTGTCAGTGCTGGTGACAGATGTGGCATGGTGAATATGCCCGCTCTGACCCTCAGGACTAAATTATCCTCAGTCTGATCCGCTCTGCTGCATACAGTGGTGGTACCAGTGATTGTTTAGTGACTCAGACCGTTTTCTTACTGTCCTGTTTGTTGGTTAACACTGCAAATGTTATGCTTCTTCAGTGACTATATTTATTAATTTGTTTATTTTATTCTATTTATTGTATACTGTTTATTTTATTTTGCAAGTTTCTCTGTAACAATGCCCCCGTCTGTCTACCTGTCATTCTATCTCTATTTACATATGTCTGTCTACCTGTCTGCCTATCTCTATCTGCATATGTCTACCTGTCTGTCTAGCTGCCTCTCTCTATCTACATATGTCTGTATGTCTGCCATTTTCTGTCTGTCTACCTGACTGTCTGCCTGTCTCTTTCTACATGTCTGTCTGTCAATCCATCTATTCAAGTGTTTAACCATCTGTCAGTCTACATATCTATCTGTCATCTGTCTATCTCTCTATGTCTATGTAGATACGTGTATGCTTCAAAACTTTCTTCTTACACTAAAGTAGAAGGGCAGATATTTCATTATTATTTATTTTGATGAAGTAATTATTGTGTGTAGTCTTGTTTTGCAGAAAGAAAAAAAATCTGTAACTCAAGTAATTCTGTAATTACTTTTAAATAATCATAATGTTAATTAAATATATAGCAAAGCAGCAGGTAATAATTCTAGACATCAAAGGGCTCATTCATTACTCTGGTCCATTCACGAAGCACCCCCAGCAGAAAAAGTGCAGCGTGGTTGTGTAGACCGGGTTTTGTAGACCAAGTTTAGGTAGAACACTGGACAGCAGCAGGTATCGGTGGGGGGGGGGGCTTTGGCATGTTCATAGAGGAAATGATCAGCAGCATGCTTGGCATGGTGAGTTGGCGAAGCCTGGCCAGACTTTTGGGACTCGTCAGCACCAGGAAAATGTGTCAGAAACATTTCATGGAAGTGTGTCAGGTGTCATGATCAATCTCTGCTCTCCCTCAGGTCTGAGAGGACTAAACTGCAGTATGAATGTCAAGCTCTCAGAGAGGCCAGCAAGGTAGGACTGCAAGTGGAGTTTTCTTTAAATTTATAATACTTTAAAGCAGTAGTTTGGGGGGAAAAAAAAACTCCAATATTCCTATTTCCCAGAATATAGACAGCCCAAGACATGTTGGTTGTTGTTTTTTTCCATATATACAGTACTGTACAAACATTTTAGGCCCCTAAGCACATTATTTTTACAGTCTTTACTTGTAAAAACACCATGAATTATGAAGAATTGCAAATAAACATAAAATATTGGAAAAAATTGACAGTAATTTCTTATTTTAAAAAAAAAAAGTAGATCTTATGAGCTGAGCTAATGAAAAGAATAAAGTTTGGTTCCAGATTTCCCATAGACATCTCCAGCTCATTTATTTATTAAATTCCATCACCGGCACACCTGATGTAATTGTAATGAAGTATTGATTAGATAATTGGTTGGAACATGCAGCCACTGCTGCCCTCACTGGACATCCTTAGAAATCACACAGTTTTCATGTTCGGGTTCTGCACTCGTGATGAAAATGGTTACTGAATAAAGTGCCGAATACGTTCTGATGAAGCTTATTTTGTTCATTGTATAGCTTTAACTAAATGCGCTGCTTTAGTAATGGAAAGAATATTATTTCAGGCTCAAATTTGGATCTTTTTCTTTAGGTATCAGCGGCTCTTACAGGTAAAGATGTGTCCGCAGAGCAGCTGCTGCAGCTGCAGACAGAGAGAGCTCAACTTCAGAGTCATCTACAGCGCTACCTGGTGGAGATTCAGCAGAGAGACCTGGGCTTCCAGCAGCTCAACATGAAGGTACCATCATACTCAAACATTCAGTACTTCTTCCTTTACCTGCCGGCTGCAGCAAGCTGTGTTACCATCTGTGTTTGCTTCTCTTCTCAGTGGAGCTAAAGGGCTAACATAGCTATCAAATAGGGCTGGGCGATAAAACAATAACGATAATTATTGCGATATAACTTTCCTTGATAGAAATATAAGAAATGTTCGGTAAATGTTCGATATAATACACCATTCTCACAATTCCACGTTCTAGCGACAGCCCTGGTGGCATTTTCTGCCTCAAGGAAAGTGAGACTACTCTGCTCTCGCCACAAGAGGGCGCACTTCCGAGTTCTTCGACATGATTAAAGAGGGAGGGGGGACGAGTAAAATGAGTCATCAAATATACTTTAGCAACGTCTGAAACGTGGAGTTATACATTCCCTGATTGAGTGGAGCGACCAGCGATCTGTTCCCCTGTGACCGAGTGTGAGTGACGAGGTCAGTGGTGTAACTGTACTGTCCTACAGTGAACTCACCTCTTTCTGCACATCCTAACCAGCTTTAGCAGCGTTAAATCACGTCTGCTCCTCTCAACTACAGCACTGTTACAGCGCTCAGTCATATTTTAGTATTAGTGCATTCACAAACAACGAAAGTGAAAGAAAGAAGTGGTTCATGTAAATTACAGCCCTGATTTAAAGTAAACTGAGGATTCTGTATGTGAGGCAGTGGAGAGTAGGAGAATGTTAGCTTCCCAGGCTAGCTGTTTTTAGTAGCTGGCTAACTTGAAGCAGCGCTCAGTCAATCAGACAGCACGGCGAATTGATGTTACTGTAGATCAAACAATACAAAAAAAGCACTGATTTCAGTTTAAACGTACCTAAAAGGAGGACTCTGTCTGTCTGGTCTGAGAATCACACTGCAGATAATGCCTTTTACACAGTGAGCGTCAGATATACTGCAGTTCACCCCTCAAGCCCTATGATAGAATAGAGAAACCCAGTCGTCTGCTATCTGGTGTCTGAATACTGTGATATACTCTGATATGGATGTGGTAGGAGTGACCGCAGTAAGGCGGTGTGATCCATCACTGACGTACCGAGCCAGCAAATGTTTGCTGTTCATGCTAAGTTGATGTTGTTGAGAAACTAAACAGTTTAGCACTTGTAACCAGATAGCTAAAATAATCTGTTAAATTATGAATATTACAAAAATTGCGGCTGTGCTTTTCCAGCTGGTAAAAACAGCCGACCAGAAACTTTCTCCCACTGCCCCGTGACAGATCTGTGAAATGTTCCACTGTTTGGTGAGTGTTTGTCATGTTCCGACCATAAAGGATAGTTTAAAACAGCAGCTGACCACTCAGGAGCAAAAATTAGAAAAAATAATCATGTGACATTTATCGCGATGTGTATCGATATGACCGATATGAAATTTTTTTTATCGTGATAACATTTTTGGTCATATTGCCCGGCTCTACTGCCAAGGTATGTAAGCGTATTTCCGTGGGCAAAAGCACGGATAGTCAGTGAAACACCACATACACCCTAGTGAACACACACACTAGGGGGCAGTGAGCACACTTGCCCGGAGTGGTGGGCAGCCCTATCCACAGCGCCTAGGAGCAGTTGAGGGTTAGGTGTCTTGATCAAGGGCACTTCAGTCATGTACTGTCGGCTCAGAGGATCGAACCAGCGACCTTCCGGTTACAAGGCTGGTTCCTAAGAACATGAAGAGTGGTTGCACAACTTCCAGGTGGCTGCTAGGTCGTTGCCATGGTATTTGACGTGATTTCTGCAAGAGTAGTTAGCGGGCAAAAATCCTGGTGAAAAATAAGAAGAAGAATATTAATATATTGTTATATATATATGGTGTTTACTGGGGGGTTGCAGTGGTATTGCAAGCGGTTGCTGGGGAGTTGCTAACCAGTTGCTGTGGTGTCTCTGATGTTGACTAAGGGGTTGCAATGGTATTCCTGGTGGTTGCTTGGGTTTTGCTATGTGGTTGCAATGGTATTCCAAGTGGTTGCTAGGGTGTCCCTAACCAGTTGCAATATATCGATGGATAATAATCACTAACAATAATTACCAACAAGCCCACCCGCCACCCCCCACCCCCCAAAGAAAACTCATGCATACTGTCGCATGATTGAGAAAAGCAGTTGCTTAACAGTTCGCCAGGGTTTAAGGTAGCTGTCAGTATTTAGGCCTGCAGTTAGCACCATGCTAACCTGTGGATGCTTCCATTACTTGTTAACTACATTAGCCTCATAGCTCCCGTGCTAAAACCAAAGAAGCGACTTCAGATACCAAACGTCGGCTGATCGACTACACTTGGAGTAATTAGGAAAACTGGCCGGATTAGTCTTTTGCAGAACTAACGCTTCATTTTTGTGTATGTGTGTTACAGTTGCAGCAGGCAGTGGAAGAGAAGGCTGCAGTTTCTGCTCAGTTTAGAGCCGTGTCTCAGACTCTGAGAGACACACAGCTGAGTCTCAGCGAGCTGCAGAACCGCTGCTACTGGCTGGAGAACCAGCACCACTCGCAGCACCCACAGGCACAGGTACCTTCACTTATGTGAGCTGTTACAGGATGCATGTGAGCCTGCTGGGGCATTTTAGGACGCAGCCATCTGAGTGTATTTAGCTCTGCTCTCACTGAGGGGAAAATGATAGAGTTCCAGCCAATCACATGCTGCTATTGGGTCAGAAATTCTCAACCCAGTCCACATCAGTGCACATTTGCTCTGTCCAGACAAATCAGGACTGGGTAGAAAGTATTGACTCTGGTCATTAATATAAAATTGGGCAGTTAAATCTAGTATCAGCTTGAAAGTTAAAGAGGAATTCCACCCAAATTTTCTGCATAATTCTGTTGAGCTGCAAACAAAGTGGTTTGATGTGAAATTGAACACATTGGGAAGAATTAAAATAAAATTGTTCTGTATATGACAGTATTTATTGTTATTATGATAAATTACTTAACATATAGAACAGTAAGCTTTTCTGTGTATATCGGGGGATATCGCCAGTGTTTAAAAGCACTTCCCCACTGCATGTTAGATTAGCAAGAGAGCATAATTAGTCCTGTTTAATTGATTTAATGCAGCGCAGAACGTGAAATGTTGACTAACAATCATTGTGTGAGAAGTTTTAGGTGATATTTTTAATTTGGCACCACTTTGTGTTTTACAAGTTAGCAGATTTATCCGAAATATTATATGTTGTGGCACATTGTGTATTGTGAAATTACATTTACGCCGTATCCCCCACTTCAAATGTACCTTAACTTTTGTGCGTTTATGTTTCATTCTTTTCCAATATATTAAATTCAGTAAAGAAACAGTAATTGTGCTTTAAAATGTACAGAAGTGTATTTTCTATAGAAGATGTGTAACAAAACATAGAATTTAACCAGGGATGTTCAAACTTTTGATTACAGCAGGGCTCTGTGCATGTGGAAGTTGCTCCTGGAGCTCCTCAGGAAAGGAGCAGCTCTGTGGCTGATCTGGACGGGCTGGACATCAGAGAACTGAGGAGCAGGTGGGTGTCCGCCGGGCATTCATAGAGCGTAAAGGCATCAGGGAAAACGGCAGATATTTTCACTTCTGTTTATTTTTCCCTTCTGTTTCCTGTATGCAGGCTGGCAGAAGCAGAGCTGCAGCTTGACTCCGCCCAGCAGAATGTGTCTCAGCTCAGTGGTAGGCTGGAGGAGGAGAGGGCGAGGCGGGAGGCGGCTGAGGAAGCTCTGGGATTGGCTGAGCAGAGAGTTACGAGGTACTAGGACTCATAATAACTCAAGGCTGATTTAAGCCTCTATGTATGTGTATCTGTGAACATGTGCAGGTGTTTTTGCATTTTGCGTAGGTCCCTGCCAGCATAATCGCAATTGAACGTGTCCACTAGGGGGCAGTGTGCGAACCAGAATGTACAGAAATCGAAGAAGACAGTCTTGCATTTTTCCTGTCTCTTAAAACGGTGTTACACACCAAATAAGTCGCAATTAAACGATGCAGTTTTTCCACATCGAGACCTGCAAAGCCGATTGGTTCTTTTTATTGAAGGGCAGGACTTTTTCCATAAACAGATTTATTGAACGTTAAGCACCCTGTTTGATTTCTTGTTCATTTTTCAACTAGTGAACTGTCTCCTCCATTATAACGTCTCTGGCACAGACAGAACAGTGAAGGCAGTGGTAAATGGAGACGATCCAAAGAAGTTTTAATAATTAGATCAGTCATTTTATTTAGGAGTAGTTAAAGAGGAACAGTTAAATTAGTCAATTATATGAATAATTGTTAAGTGTAGACCTAAACTCTGCCGAACTCTGACCCATTAGAGACTCCCTCTGCCTTTGGAGCCCTCAAATGTTATTTAAAGTTCCCTTGCCCCTGTGCGTTCACTCTGTTTTTTATTTATTTATTTTTTATTTATTCAACTAGTGTGATTACGTGTCAGAATTAAAGGTGTTTGTGTTTTTTTGTATTTCAGTATGGAACCCAGCCCTTCCAGATCATCCCAGAGAGACTTCAGTATCCAGCTGGAGACGGACGCAGAGTGGGAAGCTCTGATTTTAGACCCGAACCAACACCTGCTCATGCGCAAGGTACACCTGCACATACCTACATCATAACACAGACTAACTGACCCATCCTTCATCCTGCAAATCAGCCTGACCTGATCTTCAGCTCTCATAACGACCAAGTCCTGAGTTAGCATTCACAGCTATGGGTCTGCAGTTGTGCTTTAAGCTTTTGCAGGCCTGTTACAGTTATTACATAATTGCCCGCTTGCAATTATTTGAAATGATCGCAAATATTTATACTGCCCACAACTAGTTTGCACCGTTATTTGCTTTCACAATCATAGTTTTACAAATAGAATAGGAACTGTGTGCATTTTCATTTGCTGTAATACCTTTAGAGGGCAGCAGAGAGCGATGTTTGTTTATTTTTGTTGTCTACTAAGTATCAACAGCTGGAAAGCGAGATGGCTGATCAGCTAATATAGGGTGGAGAAATGTAGTCTTGAGTTACGTACAGCCTTACCTTAAGATGGGAAAATATTTTGCATCCTGTTTTGACGTTTATGACTCCAGTTGTTTGTGAGTTCCTGCTGGTGTAGGTTTCTTCAAAGTAAAAGTTCAAATATTTTCTAGTTCTAATAGCGCCCTCTTGTGGAAATCTTAATTATTGTGGAGAAAATGGATGATCTGTATATTAAAATGTAAACATTTTACATGCTGCTTCTGTTTTTTGACACTCAAATTGACAGTTTGTTTCACTTATTGAGAATTTCTACTTTTTAGAAGCATTTTATGCAGTTTTATATCAGTGCTAAAAAAATGTAATTTGTGATGCAACTTTTTATAGCACCAGCGATAAATGCTCAAAATTACGAAACGTATAAACTTGCATGTAAAGTGTGTTTAACTACCATAACATACAATACAGAGGCACAGATTCACCATGTTATGGTTTAAAAATAGTAAATATTCACCAGGCATAACATTCTGACCACCTCCTTGTTTCTACGCTCGTTGTCCATTTTATCAGCTCCACTTACTATATAGGTGCACTTTGTAGTTCTACAGTTACAGACTGTAGTCCATCTGTTTCTCTGATACTTTGTTAGCCCCCTTTTACCCTGTTCTTCAGTGGTCAGGACCCTCATGGACCCTCACAGAGCAGGTACTATTTAGGTGATGGATCATTCTCAGCACTGCAGTAACACTGACGTGGTGGTGGTGTGTGTGTTGTGCTGGTACGAGTGGATCAGCTACAGCAGTGCTGCTGGAGTTTTTAAACACTGTGTCCACTCACTGTCCACTCTATTAGACACTCCTACCTTGGTGGTCCTTGTAGATGTAAAGTCAGAGACGATAGCTCATCTGCTGCTACACAGTTTGTGTTGGTCATCCTCTAGTCCTTCATCAGTGGTCACAGGACGCTGTTGGCTGGATATTTTTGGTTGGTGGACTATTCTCAGTCCAGCAGCGACACTGAGGTGTTTAAAAACTTCAGCAGCACTGCTGGGTCTGATCCACTCATACCAGCACAACACACACCAACACACCACCACCACGTCAGCGTTACTGCAGTGCTGAGAATGATCCACCACCCAAATAGTACCTGCTCTGTGAGGGTCCATGGGGGTCCTGACCACTGAAGAACAGGGTAAAAGGGGGCTAACAAAGTATCAGAGAAACAGATGGACTACGGTCTGTAACTGTAGAACTACAAAGTGCACCTATATAGTAAGTGGAGCTGATAAAATGGACAATGAGCGTAGAAACAAGGAGGTGGTCAGAATGTTATGCCTGATCGGTGTGTATGTTAAATAAACAAACAAACTTTTAAAAAATAATAAAATTCATCTCCGTCATCAGATCTTTCAAATTATGGCATTAAAACTCACTTCACAGGGCTCATTTTTTAGTTACATTTTAGTCTTAAAGCAATAAAGCCTTCTGATTTGTGACCCCAATAAAAACAATGACAGTGGCTACCATTCCATCTGATGATCTGAGGTGGATTAATTGAGTGCATAGTTCGTTCTCATGCCAGGGATTCAGTTCTCATTCTTTGTAACCCTGATATCCGGTACGTCCCTTCCTGTATGACTCTTGTCTTTGCTTCCAGATGAAGAGTGGAGTCCACTCGTGCAGGCGCTGGCTGAGAGGCCGCAGTTTGTACTGCTCTAAAATGCTGACGTCTCGAGCCAAATCCCGCTACCTGTTCATGGCTTACCTGCTCACCCTGCACATCCTGGTCTTCATGTGCTTCGCTGGCGCTCTGTAGAAGGACATAATGCCTCTCAGGAGTGTGGACCACAGCTTGGACTTCATCCTGCAGCAGAAGAGTCAAACGGTCATCCAAACAAAACCTCCTAGGTTTCTGTTGTAGCAGTCTGAATGGACCTGGTCCAGGATGTCCTGGACGGTTTGGGTGTTGATCAGGTTTAATGTAGGACTACACAATATACCATATCGATACTGATATACTCTTGAAATGGTTAACGATCGGCCAGTTTCATTTACAGACCTACAGAAACTCATTTAGATTGTTGTAAACATGTTGATCAAAAAAGATTCACCACAAAAAAGTTTGAATGGGTTGGAGGCCAAAATATTGCATATTGCAGACCTGTGATGTCAGTATTGCATTGGCCAATATTGCGCTTTTCAAACGATATATTTTGCGGCCCTGGTTTGATGAGTGGACCCAAAGAAGTCTTCAACAAAATAAAACATGCTCACGCAGCAAGATCCCTCCGCAGTGGTGAATCCACTGCACAATTGAATGTTGCACCTATATTTTCTAAATACAGGGAAATGATTATCCATATTAAGGATAACAGTTGGTGCAAGAAACAGAGATAAAGGAATTGTTCAGCCTAAAATCATATTCATCCAATTTTCCACTTTCCCCAGATATAGTCGATCAGCCAAGACACGTTTGGAGTCCAAAATTTGCTTCTTTGCTTTATAACTGGAATTACACGGCTAACATTGCTAATGAACACTAGAAGTCAGTAGTCACCCAAATAGCCCAGATCGTTTCTCTAACAGACCTGTATCCAGGTCTTCGTTAAGGTGGCGCAGACTTGCCAGTGTGGTTCAGAGCACGGTATGACATTGAGCCACTGAGTGCATTTACATGAGTTTTACATCATGTTTACATCACGTCGTCTTCTGCAAGTTTATTGGCTGGTTATAAATCAGAAATCCGATTACTGTCTGACTCATGTAGCCCCGGAGTTTCCCTATTATCTCATCACTCAAGTTCATGTAAAAGCATTAATCGTAATACTGACAAAATCTGATTTTCTGCAGTTATCGGATTATTAAGTGCATTTAAACACACTCATTGTCACAAATACTGGTTCTAGATCAGCATTCTGAGTACTGAGGGTCTGTATTCAGAAACCAACTGTTGATTTAAAGTTGCTGCCTGAAGTTTTTTCATTTTATTTTATATCCAAAACCTCATGGACAAATCTGCGGCAAGTTGGTAAAGACCTAGATGCAGTTTGAAGTGGTTAAGAGAGACTTTGGTGATGTATTTTTACAGAAACTCTCCAGCTCAAAGCGGAAGTTGGACTCCGAATATGTCTCAGCTGCTCTGTATTGCAAAATTGTGCAAATTGGATTATGAACTGTTCCTTTAAGGCTGGTGTGTTCCTTTAGTTTGATACATTAAGTGGCGAAACTGATTATATTTAGCAAACTTTCTGTTTATATTCTGTCGCTTTCCGTTTATACCCTTGACACCTTTACCGGACTTTGTCTACATAGCAACTGTATACACCAAATGTCCTGAAACCTCACACACATACAAATCCACTCGTGTTTAGGTGCCCTGTGGGTTCTCATGTCACTTGCTGCTGATGAGGCTATGCACTGAACTTTTATTTATATATTCATTCTCCACAACAACTCAGCAGGGCCTGCTTTCACAGGAGTGGGGCGTGTGTGTGTGTGTGTGTGTGCATGTGATGATAACGAGGGATGAATCTTGGTTCGTTTCACTACAGATCAGCCTATCAGAGTACTATGCTATAGAAGTATATGTAATATTTAAGGAGGTGAATATTTAATGCACTATGTGACGTATGTGGAGAAGTACATTTTGTGCCTGATACCGTCGCGTTCCCATTGTAGTTACTCTATTACAGTGTAAGTACCATTGACCTATACTGAAATGTACAGCCTCAGCATAGTCCATAGCACTTTCTTACCCTTTATAACTGTGTACACTATGAATGGGCGGATGCTGCGCACCGTGCTTTGCTGGAGCTTTTCTATAGAGGGCGTGTCGTACTCTGTAACTACAGGGGTGTTAGGACGCATTCTGTACAACTGCAGGTGTAAACGAAGCTTAAAGGAGATGTTCTGACACAAATCGCTAATGTTGCTAACAGTAAATGAAAATGAATAGGCAGCAGTTAGCATTGCGTCTGTTAGGCCAGTTGCTGGCTATTAGCTTCATCATTGTTAGCCGCATTAGCATGTTGTCTTCCTTTAAGGCGGTGTGTGAATGAACTGCAGTGTTTTCCAGTTCTGCTACTGTATTAAACTGTATAATGCAAATTTTAGTGTTTTTGTGCTCCAAACAGGGCTAATTAAAGGCTCGTTAGCTCGTTTCCCAATTAAATTCAGCATATTGGAGCAAGAAATCAATAAAATGTGCAGGACCAGAACTGATGTATACAAGCTCCACCCACAAAAGCATTCTTTCGTAGCTACTGTTGCTAGGCTGGACAAGCTTTTCAGAATCCCATTCAGCCCAATGTACGGAGCCTTACTGGTGATGTCCTGTATAAATGAAAATAATGAGTGGCTACAACTTAGTAAGGCATGGGAACGAGATCCTAATGCATGGCCATGACTTGTTAAGGCATCATCTCGTTACCATGCCTTACTAAGTCATGGCCACAACTTAATTATCTCATTCCCACGCCTTACTAAGTTGTGGCCATGTGTTACTTTTATTTATGTGGGATCTCACCAGCAGGGCTCTGTACTGATAAGAACTCAGTGAGAACGTTTCCATTTAAAATGCTGCGCTAGCCAGGTTGGATTTGGTGCCTTGCTAACATTAGCTGGACGACAGATGACCTATAGCTGATATACAGTGTGACCTTTTATACAGAACTGTGCAAAAGTCAGAGACCACCCCTTGTTTATTTACTTTCCAGACAACGTGGCCATTAAGTACAGTATATATTTTTTTAGCCTCAGTAAAAAAGCAGAAACATAACAGACGCTTGTGTAATAATAATAGTAATAGTGGTAATAATAATAATAATAATAATAATAATAATAGTAATAGTCTAAAATTCTTCCCTCTTTACCTGTATTACAACAGAGACCACTGTTCATTTATTTAATTTCTTGTCAAAAAAGACATCAAGTGCACACTTAAAGATGGTTCTTCAAGGGTTCTTCAAGGGTTCTTCAGTAAAGACAGTGGTTCTATATAGAATCATGAACATTCGAAGAACCTTTTGCATGATTAAAGGGTTTTTTTGCATCATCAAGGAGTTCCTCAGATTGCTGGAGAATGTGTTTATACTTATATTGAGCCTATATATTATACTCTATATCGAAGAGGGTTCTATATAGCACCAAAAACGGTTCTGCTATTGTTACAGTGTCAAGCTTGTAACAATACAAGAACCTTTTGGGTGCTATACAGAACCCTTTTCAAAAAGGTTCTACATAAATCCATCTACAGCACATTCTACGTCAATCTGAAGAACCCTTTCATGATGCAAAGAACCCTTTAATCATGCAAAGGGTTCTATATAGCACCGAAAAGGGTTCTTCTATCGTTCCAACCCTTTTTGGTGCTGTATTGAACCCTTTTCAAAAAAGGTTCTATATAGAATCATCTACAGCACGTTCTCCACCAGTCTGAAGAACCGTTTCATGATGCAAAGAGTTCTTTGAGTGTTCGTGGTTCTACATAGAATCATTTTCTTTACTAAAGAACCCTTGAAGAACCATCTTTAAGTGTGTACATCATCTAAACATATATTTAGCAGAAAATTACACATAATCTCAGCTGTTTGAGTCTCAGTGAGTCTCTCTTTACCTTTATTCCAGCTTCCGTTCTTTTCAGGAGACTCACTTTCAGTTCCTCAAAGAATCTGCAGACACACCTCCAAAGTTCAGTCTTAGAAGCTGGTTGATCATTTTCTGAAGTAATCAAACACATTCAGTGGTGTTGAGGTCTGGACTCTGGGGTGGTCAGTCCATCGTTCAGCTTCTTTGTTTGATGTGTCCGTCTCCTTTTCTCAGCGAGGTTCTTCTTGAACAGCTACACATCCTTTCAGACCCACAGCGCTGAGTCGTCTTCTGTGTAGAAGAAACATAATCTGCACTCAAAGTGTGAGAATTCGACTAAAACTCATTTGTGCACAAGTTTCTCATTAGATTCAGTGGGATTCTGTGAAGCTTCTTCAACTTATCAAGAGTAACAATGCAAGAACGCAGCTGTGGGCGGAGCCTGGACAGCACAATTGGAGAACACTGGTTTGTGATATGCTAATGAGTGTATGTATATATCCTACAGATGATGTAATGTTAATTTCGCAGCTGTTGTACGTACTCTAATATCCTCTGATTGTTTACATGCTGAATTACTGTATAAATGCTGTCGCCCACAGTCGTCCCGCCCCCTGGCTTCTGTGTTACTGATCTGTAAATAAGGAATGATTTAGTGAAGAATTGATCTCTATGTAAATGGAAAAAAGAAAAGAAAACTACTGAGCGAATTCACAGTGTCCTATTTTCTACATAGGGTCTATTTTTGAGCAGAATCACGACTCGGATGATCCCATGGTTCTTCAGTCGTTAGGCTGAAATGCGTGTGCAATACAATTCAGTTTGTTTTTCTTTGTTTTTGTTTTCTCTGGACTGGATGTGCAGTTACTTTGTTGAAAGAAGTAATTTTAATAAAGTTATTTGAAAACACAAACTTTTTCTTCCCAAGCGGCTGATTTTATTCCTCAGAGCTGTGTGGATTTCTATGTGCACTCAGTGTTATGGGGGAATCTTCACCAAGGCTGATTTACTCACACATTTTCTCTCCATCCATCCATCCATCTATTAATTAGGCTGCTTTAAACTGTAAGTATATTTTATGTTAATGAATCTTATATTTACTGCTGTATGTTGATTTACTGAGTTATTGAAGCTTTACACGTTCCTACTTTTTTACTGTGGACTGTAAAGTGACAATAAAACCATCCTTCTCTTCCTATCCATCCGTCCGTTCAGTTCATCCCCCTGTCCAGCTCTTCCACTGTATTGGTTCATCCCTCCATCTGTTCATTTCTTTTTCTAAATTCGTCATCCATCAGTCCATGGAGGTGGGCGATATGGCAAAAATGTAATATTGTGATACTTTAACAAACTTTTTTGAACATCTGATCAGTTTGAATAGAGAAAAAATGCCATCAAAACTGTGAAAACAATGATTTCTATTCAGTATTTGGCACTAAATCCAGTTAAACTGGACTAATTTTGCTCTCTTCATAATGAAACAAGCGCTTGGTCAGTTTTTACAAGTACTAACGATTTACAAGAAGAAGCCTATTCTGACTTAATTTATCACTATCTCTTTCTGTCCATCCATTCTTTTATATATGACCATTCTTCAGTTTTTTCTGGCTGTCTCTCTGTCCATCTATAAATCCTTATATCTGTCTATTTATACGTTCATCTGTCTTTTTGTCTATTGATCTGTCCATCCATCCGTCTGTCAATCTGTCTGTGTGTCTGATTTTCTGTCTATTAATCTGTCTTTCCATCTCTGTCTGTCTGTCTGTCTGATTTCTCTGAACACTTTGCTCCCTGTTGTGCTGAAACAGTAGTGTCAGTTGAACCTGCAGCTTTGGGTTTGGCTTGTGTACATTTATATGTGGTTTATATCCACTTTAGTTATTATATTACTGCTGAATTTTGAGGTTATGAATGAAGTATCTGGTCGAGTATCGTTCATTACCGTTGTAGCTCGGTCACGGAAAAAGCTAACTTACTTATTGTTAGAGATGCATCGATACCTGATCCTTTAGTATCGGCCGATACCGATACCAACTCTAACCTAACTCACCCATAAGTCCTGATATTTATACAGTCACAATATTAAAATATATATTATTTTGGTAAAATCTGTTCTGCATCACAAATAAAACACTCATCTTGAGTAGACGGCATTTACTTGTTGGATTATATTAGATGTGTAAGAAAACATTTTTGTTTATGTACTGTATATATTTAGTATTTACTATTATAGAATTAGTAATAAGAACTATGTTTAACAACTGAAGTCGATGTAAAATATTTTTATTGTGCAAAACAGTTAAAAAACAGGACTGAGCAGTATGTAGTTAAGCCTGTGGTGTTAACACATCAGCACACAGCAGCTTCTCTGGCTGAAAAACAGCTGAATGTCAATGGTTGAAGCGACGGGCTGCGAGACCCCGCTACTGAGTGATACAGCTGACCGACGGAGGTGCACTGCAGGTGGGGCTAGTGGACGCACAGGCCCGGTGAGCGGGCTGCTATGCTAAAGGCTAAATCAAGGCTAAAGGCCTCATCACACCAAGAGTCCAGCGGAACCTTCTACTCCCTCAATAACATTAACTCAAACTGAACGTGACCACACGGCGACAGATGAGTGATACTGAAAGGACCAGCTCAGCCGTTCAGGTAGGCGGCTCTGTCGGAGTGTTCTTCACACCAAAAATCAACGTTACTTATCGTTTTACGTCCCATTAAATGTCTCGTCGCTGCAGTGGTGAGAATGATCCACGAACCAAACAGTACCTGCTCTGCGGGGGTCCTGTGGGGTCCTGACCACTGAAGAACAGGGTAACAAAGTATGCAGAGAAACTGATGGACTACAGTCTGTAACTGTAGAACTACAGAGTGAGACTATATGAGTGTAGATACAAGGAGGTGTTCCTAATAAAGTGCTCAGTGAGTGTAGTTTGTGTTGGTTATATTTCTCATTTATTGGTTCATATTGTTAAATTATTTGTATGGTTTATATGGTAAGTGTTGTTTATATTGTTTATATAGTTTGTGGTTTATATAACTTACTGTATACACACTCATGCTGCTGTTAGGCCCAGAATGGAGATCAGGTGACCTCCTCTCAAACGTCTCACTGCAGCCGTCTCTCTGTCAACTGCACAATAAATTACTGTCTAATATTAACTCTGCATTGTCCCTGAGTGGACGGAGCCGAGCGTGTGTGCGTGTGAACAGATTCCAGGCCTTTCCAGACTCGTCCTTCCGTGGAGGACAAAAGCATGTCTTTCCACGGAGAGAGAGACGCAGCGTGTCCAAAAAAGGCCCGGGGTGTGAGGAGGCATGTGTGGAGGGGTGGAGAGAGGGGTGAGGGTTCGATTGAGGTGGACGTATAAATGGGCAGGGCAGGTGAAGGCCAAGTCCACTCTCTAAAGGGAGCAACGGCACTGCAGCCTCTTCTCCTCTCTCTCTGGGTGAGTCCTACTCTGTTCATACAGCTACGTTTGCCCTTCTTTTTCAGTTGTTTCTTTGTATATTGTTAGACATTGTTTTATATTATATAAAATAGTTGTATTATTATATTATTATCATTATTATTATGTTTGTATTATTTATATATTATACATTTTTGTACGGAATTGTTTCATTATTTTTTATTTTATTGAAGAAAGTGAAGAAAAAAATCAATAAAATCTCCAGATATCATTAAACAATCTAGTGTCACTAATATAATCTGTAATCCAAGACAAAAAGGAATATTTAATAAATCAGGTTTATATATTTAATATATAAACCTAAATTATTGAAGTTGCATTTGTTGATTTCAGTGTGAATCCTAAGAACTCAATTTTTTTGTAGTATAATAATATTAATATCATTAATTTCATAGTTGTATAGTAAAATATATTTACTTTGGATTTGCGCTTCAATTTCAACTGTTTTGAAGAGACAGGATGAAAACAAAAATGATGAGATGTAATCAAAGTTCATATCCTAATTAAATATCTCCTACAAATGTGGCGTGAAAGTTTAGAACCTGCACTGTCCACACAGCTTCCCCACCTGCCTCACTGAGCCGAGTCAGAGCTGAGACTCGCCCCGTTAGACTCTCTCTCTGCCTTGTTATGGCTGAAGTAATCCAGTGAAGTGCTCCAAGGCTTTAGTGCTAATCACAAATGATCTCCCAGAATTCAGTCCATTAGGATGGGCAGCATTAGCAGTTCTGGGCAGCATTAGCAGCAGCGCTATAGAGTTACTGACTGATACACAGTTACAGCTCTGAGCTCAGTTACTGTCACTGTAACAGGTTCCTGATAGTGAGTCTGTCTGAGACTCAGTCTGATCTTTAATACAGCTTCATAGCAGTATTTATATCAGTATTATAATAGTTTTATAACAGTTTTATAATACCACACTGCAGTACCTAGACAGACATAGATAGATAGACAGACAGACAGACAGACAGACAGACAGAAAGAAAGATAGATAGACAGACAGACAGACAGACAGACAGACAGACAGAAAGAAAGATAGACAGACAGACAGACAGACAGACAGACAGAAAGAAAGATAGATAGAAAGACAGACACAGATAGAGAGACAGACAGACAAAAAAGATAGACAGAAATATAGACAGATAGATAAATAGATTGATCACAGAAAGATTGATAGATAGAGAGAGAGAGAGAGGAAGATAGATAGACAGATTGATCACAGAAAGATTGATGGACAGATAGATAGATAGACAGACAGACAGATAGATAGAGAGATAGACAGAGAGACAGGAAGATAGATAGACAGACAGATAGATAGGTAGATAGACAGACGGACAGATGGACAGATAGGTAGACAGACAGACAGACAGATAGATAGATAGATAGATAGATAGATAGATAGATAGATAGATCACAGAAAGATTGATAGACGGACAGACAGATAGATAGTTAGAAAGAAAGAAAGAGACAGAGAAAGACAGACAGACAGATAGACAGATAGAAAGATAGATACACAGACAGACAGGCAGGCAGGTAGATACAGACAGATATATAGTTGAAAGGCAGACAGATACACAGAGAGACAGACAGATATAGAAAAAGGGATTGCTGGAAAGAAAAGATGGAAGACAGCTGGGGAGAAAGAAGGCAGAAGGACAGATAATATGGTCTTTAGATCAATCCTTATCTGGGAAAGTGACTTAACAATCTTTTCTAAAGCTTGTCCAACTTAGCAACAGTTACTATGAAAGAACACATTTGTGGGCGGAGCCTAGATCCACGTCCACGTTCAAAATATCTACGTGTTCAGTCTGATAACACCAGCAGTAAACCTGTAATATTACACTGTGTTTGTTTTCCTCAGTATCTGTATATGATAATGATTTCACTTCTGTGTGTCTGTCTGTCTGTGTCTGTCTGTGTGTCTGTCTGTGTGTCTGTCTGTGTGTCTGTCTGTCTGTCTGTCTGTCTGTCTGTCTGTCTGTACAGGTGGTCCATAGCTGTGTGAGTGAGGATGTGTGACGATGAGGAGACCACCGCTCTGGTGTGTGATAACGGCTCTGGGCTGGTCAAAGCTGGGTTTGCCGGAGACGACGCCCCCAGAGCTGTGTTTCCCTCCATCGTCGGGAGACCACGACACCAGGTCTGTCTGACGGCATTAAAGCGATACTTCACTCAAATCTTCATCACACAACTTAAAGCAACCGTTCACTGAATAATCACAGTGGAGTCGATCAGCCAAGATATGTATAATGGTAATTTTAGCACTGGAGCTACAAAGCTAATGTAGCTAACAAGCATTGGAAGATTATACCCCACCAATTAGCATCACACATTTGCCTCAAAGTGTGTGTAGTTGTTCAGAGTGATTCAGAGTGGTTTGGTGTGAAATGGTTCAGATGTCTTTACAGTGGTGGTGATAGGAACCAGGGGTCGCCATGACTACAACACAAATATAGACATTTTATTTACTATCCAGAACCACCAGTGAACCTACACGAGTCTTCTGAGTTTATATGGAATGTTGATGATGGAAAATAGTGGGAAATCTGAAATACTAAGTTTTCTTTGGGGACTATTTTGCCTCACAGCGCCTGCATGTATCCCTCCACCATGAATGGAGTTTAAGTTCTCAAAACTATCATAAAACAGTGTCTCAGTCATCAGGCAGTGAATTCATAACCATTTCATGTAGGAACTTTCTGTGAGGAGCTTTTAGAGGTGGACGTCTGGTTCCTATCACCACCACTGTGAACAGTTCTGACTCGGTAAGTTTCTCTAGAATGGAGTTTCACACCAAACCACTCTGAACGACTCTGTTTACATTTCTAGAAGTGAGGCACAGAAATTCAGTTTTGTATTTGTGTTTCTTTGGTTTGTTGGGTATGTTTGGGTCCTTAGTCAGGTTTGCTATAGCCTCTGTGGTCATCAAGGTCAGTGCTTGACTTGTTAAACAGATATTTTCTGCCTTTTTTGTCAAATGTTGAATCTCAGCCCTGTGTTCAGTGGAGTCTTTATCCACAGCTGTGCTATGATCACTGTGTAATATCTTCAGGCCATCTGTGTCTCTCAGCTCTGAGTCGTCGGCGTTAGCTCTGCTCCCTCAGCGCCGCCGTTATTGGACTCAGACTAAAGCACAGTGTTTACAGGGTGAGCATAGCAGAGAACACACAGATGGGTTTGTTTAAGAGGCAGGAGGTTCAGAGAATGAGCTTTACGTCGTGAGGGTGACTGAAACTCTAGAGGAGTTTGTAAAAGAGAAAACAGTTATGGGTATAATTTATAAGAATATGTTGGTTGAAACATATACAGTACCAGTCAAACGTATAGAACCCAGCAGACTGAATGTATGGTCATGCCAATCATAAAGTCTGGTCAGATCATGTCATGTATTTCTTTAAAACATTCATACAACTGTGAGAGTTTGTGCTTCAGTTAGTTTTATAGTTATGATTTTTAACGTTTGCCTACATCAGATTCTACTTCACATGTTTAATGTTGAGTTTAACTGTTTACTGAGGGACTGAACTGGGCTGAAATATTAACTGACCATAAATACAGCACTAAAAATAATATTTCACTTTGAAACAGCTGGTTTCATGTTAATAAATTACTTAATTTAATAATAACTGAAGGGGTGTTAAAACGACCATAGAGAATACGGTTATATCTCAGATGTGCTGTAGCTCCTCCATGATTTGACCGTTTCTTAAAATAAAGTATTTGAGTAAAAAGTGTTTCACATTGTGAAACTGTAAATAGAAGACGCTGGATCCCAAATGAGCCCATAATGTTTCAGCAAGTCTTTTTGAGAGCTAGTCTTTTGTTTTATGATGCTGGGGATCTGTTACACACAGAATCCTTTGCAGAAGCTCCAAACATTCTACAATGTGGATAATACTGATTGTGTGTGGTGACTGTGTGTGTCAGGGTGTGATGGTGGGCATGGGGCAGAAGGACAGCTACGTAGGAGACGAGGCCCAGAGCAAGAGAGGCATCCTGACCCTCAAATACCCCGTAGAGCATGGCATCATCACCAACTGGGACGACATGGAGAAGGTACAGTCAGCACTGACCAGCATAAAACTGACCAACAGGGGCATAAAAAGCATCACAGTACATTAATCTGTAGATCGATAGATAAATAGACAGACAGACAGACAGACAGGTAATTGGATAGATAGACAGACAGACATGTAGACAGTCAATCAGGTAGATGGATAGACAGACAGACATACAGGTAGATAGATCAATAGATAGACAGACAAACAAACAAGTAGATAGATAGGTAGATAGATAGATCAATAGATAGGTAGACAGACTTACAGACAGGTAGACAGACAGACAAACAAGTAGGTAGATAGATAGATAGACAGACAGACAAACAGATAGATTGATAGACAGACAGGTAGATAGATAGATCAATAGATAAACAGACAAACAGATTGGTAGACAGACTTACAGACAGTTAGACAGACAAACAAGTAGATAGATAGATAGATAGATAGGTAGATAAATAGACAGACAGACACAGATGGACAGACAGACAAGTAGATAGATAGGTGAAAAGGTAGATAAATAGACAGACACACAGGTAGATAGAGACAGACAGACAGATAGATAGACAGATAGATAGATAGACAGACAGACAGACAGATAGAGAGATAGATAGACAGACAGACAGACAGATAGATAGATAGATAGATAGATAGATAGGAAAGGCAGATAAATAGACAGACAGACAGAAACACAAGTAGATTCAACAGCACTGATAATGAATTATAATCAATCATAATCATATTTAATAAAGTATGTAATCATCTTCTGTCCAAAACAAAGGTGTATCCAGTGTTTTGCTCAGTTTGGTCTGTTTCTGATTTGCTGGTTTTCTCTCTCAGATTTGGCATCACACGTTCTATAACGAGCTGCGTGTGGCTCCTGAGGAGCATCCGGTCCTCCTCACTGAGGCTCCTCTCAACCCTAAAGCCAACAGGGAGAAGATGACCCAGGTCAGTGTGTTAATGAATCCCCCCAGTTGCCCCTCGTTACCCCAATGCAGTCGGCATGTTTGATATCTGAAGTTTGCTACTTTAGTTCTCTAATGTAGTTCAGAAGTACTGGAAGCTTAGAACCCCCCAGTGAGCAGTGATGCCTGGAGCACCACACACTCAGAGCATGAGTTGTTAAGTAATAACTGATAGACTTGATTCAGTGGGTTCAGGAAATCCCTATAGAAATGAAAGAGAACTGAACTGAATGTTGAATGGTAATGTTCTGCTGTCTCACCTGTCTTCAGATCATGTTTGAAACCTTTAACGTTCCGGCGATGTACGTGGCCATCCAGGCTGTGCTGTCCCTCTACGCTTCTGGCCGTACTACTGGTGAGATGTCACATTGTTTGTAATGCACAAATCCTCATTCAAGAGCTGGCAAAGTTTTCTTTTTATCGTTTTGTCGTTGCTTTATGTATTATTTTTTCCTCTTAATAAATATGTTTAGTAATATTCTACTAAATTGTATTGCCAGTTTTATTGTCAGTCATTTATCTACAGGTTTTGTCTTAGCCTTGGTTTTAATCTTCCAGTGAAGCACTGGGTAGACTTGCTTTAGAAGTGCTACAGTGGTCGGTGATTTATTGGTTGCCTCAAATTGCAGGACATTCACTTTTCTGGTACTTTTGGATTTGAGAACAGCCTTTTATAAGGTTGACTAAGGTATTTTAATGAACAGGCTTGCAAATACTGCTGATTTAGACAGACTAGTTCTTGTCAGTCTTGCCAGACTGCCTTCACTTGGTCAGTGTCCATGAGAAGCTTTCCAAGCCCAGAAGAATGTGGTGTCCCACAAGGCTCTGTTTTAGGGCCCTTACCGTTCTCCCTTTATTCACAGCCTTCACTGTAAAAATTTAAACAGGATGAGTTATATGAACTTTTGTTCATCTAAACTAAAATTTTGCGTTTGTATGGAGTAATCTAAAGTATTTGAGTTAGATAAAATGTTTAAATTGCTTGTTACCACATGAAACTAATAATAATAATAATTTTGTGGTTGAACTGACCATTTTTAGTGTCATTCAGAATGCAGCAGCAGCCCGTGTGCTCACCAGGAAATGAAAGTTTGATCATATTACTCTGGTCTTATTCAGTTTACACTCGCTTCCAGTTAAGTTCCACATTCAGTAAAACGTCTTGTTTATGACATTTAATGTTCTTAATGGCCGAGATCGGGCATATCTCACTGACCTCTTGAAGCGTTATAGCCGTCCAGACCACTCAGTCTCACTGCAAACTCCTAGGATCTCTTACAGCTCAGTTGGTGGAAGATCTTTTTCTTAAAGAGCTCCTAAAGTCTGGAAGAGCATTAGAGAAGATTAGGAACACAAGCTTGGTAGATGTTTTTAAAAACCAGATTAAAGCCATATTTGTACTGTGACTCATCTCCTCCTGTTTGTAAGTGTACTGTCATTTAGATTGTATTATTATTCATTTTCTTCATATTATAATTTTTACATTATAATTTGTACGTGTGTGTAGGTATCGTGCTGGACGCTGGTGATGGTGTGACCCATAACGTTCCTGTATATGAGGGTTATGCTCTGCCCCACGCTATAATGAGGCTGGACCTTGCCGGCCGTGATCTGACTGACTACCTGATGAAGATCCTGACTGAGAGAGGCTACAGCTTCGTCACCACCGGTGAGGATGAAGGCTCAGTCATAATCCTGCATACGTGTGTTCACCACACACAGACATTCAGCTTTTTGTGCATAACATTAACATGTACACCAGGGGGCAGTGTTGCATTTACCAAACCAGAAAACACACAATGATGTTGCTATTTCTATAATACTTTTAAGAGGTGTAATATAAACGTTTGCATTGATGAACCTCGTTGGCCAGTCAGTCTTCTAACTGCTCCGGGTTGCTGTGTTGCTTTTTGTTTTGGGTATTTTGTTTAGTTTGTTATTAGCAGGTTTTCTAAGCCGAGGTAAACTAGGCTTGTTAATTATGGCAAAAAAATACCTAATACAATGGAGTAGACCCTGAAACGAGGCTGGGAGGACTCAGATGTGTCAAACTATCATGGGTAGCGGGTTGACTGGACAGCTAATAGTTATGGTTTCTTACTCTAATCATTCTGACTGATTTACTGCCACTGCTGTTCTCACTGCAGGTTTGTTCTGAGCAGTTCTGTCTAAACTTTTCCTTTGCTTGATGGATAAAGGAATGTTTAGACACTGAGAGGCATTTCAGTTTAAAACTGCAGTGAATTCAATTAAAATAGCGTGTGAGTATAGCCATGTTATTTACTATTTTATTTACTATTTAAAGCCACTGGTGCAGTGAACCTACGCATCTTCTGAGGTTTCATAATATTGATGATGATAAAATAGTAAAATTAAGATTGTTTTGGCCGTCAAAGGATGGTTGCTAAAAATGTACATATCTGAGTTGCAAACAAGCTATCAGTCAGATATCAGTTATTGTACAGAAATCAATTACTCTAATTACAGACAAAAAGATGATTGTTTTGTTTATTGATTGTCTGTAACAACAAAAAGAAAGAAGCACTAACCTGCCCTGGAATCTTTTTCAACTTGTCTTTACCATACTATGATAGTTTGTTGACTTGTGCCTAACCAATCAGCGCTCAGTAGCAGTAATGCACACCAATCAGCGCTCAGTAGCAGTAATGCACACCAATCAGCACTCAGTAGCAGTAATGCACACCAATCGGCGCTCAGTAGCAGTAATGCACACCAATCGGCACTCAGTAGCAGGATTGCACACAATCAGCACTCCGTAGCAGTAATGCACATCAATCAGCACTCAGTCGCAGTCAGTTAATGCACACCAATCAGCACTCAGTAGCAGTAATGCACACCAATCAGCACTCAGTAGCAGTAATGCACACCAATCAGCACTCAGTAGCAGTAATGCACACCAATCAGCACTCAGTAGCAGTAATGTTAACCAATCAGCACTCAGTAGCAGTAATGTGAGCGTCCTGCTGCCCAAAACCCGTTTGCTGTAGAAAAAAACATACAGGTGAGTTTTCTTTGTTTTTTAGTGAAATCCATCCTTCTACTGTCTAAAACTAAAGGGAAGTTCTGGCCGAGTGATTAGAAACTATTTTAACTTTTCGTTATTAGCCGTTGAGCTCCATTCACCCCCATTCATTGAGGACTCGCTCGTGGGCGCCCTCTGGCGTATTGCAGTCATAATTTTAAAATAACAGGGAAAACAGGAAACGGCCAGACTCCTCATTAACCGGCTCTGGAGCTGCTCCCTATGTAGATATGAAGGGTTCATTCTAAGCTAAGGAAAGCACAGCGATTCGACACTAACGAAGACAGGGTTTTGTGTACTGTAGTGACCTGCTTCAGGCTGGCGCTGACCTCTAGATGCTTGTGTGGTGTGGCCTGATCCACTCGTACCAGTGCAACACACACTAACACACCACCACCACGTCAGTGTTACTGCAGTGCTGAGAATGACCCACCACCCAAATAGTACCTGCTCTGTGAGGGTCCATGGGGGTCCTGACCACTGAAGAACAGGGTAAAAGGGGGCTAACAAAGTATCAGAGAAACAGATGGACTACAGTCTGTAACTGTAGAACTACAAAGTGCACCTATATAGTAAGTGGAGCTGATAAAATGGACAATGAGCATAGAAACAAGGAGGTGGTCAGAATGTTATGCCTGATCGGTGTACCTGTTAATAATATTATTTGTTTTTATGTTTTCAAATTGATATTTATTGTAGGTGTTCTTTACACAGTTTACATTTGAATTGCTGTATGTTAGCTGTAGTCCCCCCCCACATGTTGTCTGTCTCAGTGATCAGACAGCATATTCATAACCATTTTATCTAATAGCTTCCTGTGAGGCAGCTTTTAGAGACTTTTCCTACGTCTGGTTCCAGTAGCCTGCATACATTTGAATGGTTTCATTATGCAGACATTTCGAAAACTTTATGCAATTCCCCTTTCAATTACATTGAAGAAAGCTCGCGGTCACACATTGACTCTGACCGTGTTAACGCCTGCTCGGAGCAGGCGTTAACACGGTCAGAGTCAATGTGTGACCGCGAGCTTTCTTTGTACAACAAACGACGAGTCCATGTGTTGTGATTATTTTAGTGGCGTGTTTTTGAGAGCTCAGTCCCGAAATAGAGGCTCGCGGCGCTCCTCAAAGAGGTTTGGGAGGGCTGCTGTCAGGTGGCTGAGGAATTTTAATCCCCTTTTGCAGCAGCGCAGGGTGGGAGCGGAGTATGTGCGCCCTCATTGGCCACCGTGCATGGTAAAAATAGCACAACCTAGTGGAACCATGCAAGCACTGCAGCTGCGCACTGCTGTGGGGGGAATGTGGAACGACCTTGGCAACCAGACATGCAAACCACAGTGTGTCTATGTACAGTTCTAACTGAAGGCTTGGATGCACTTAGTTATAGAGAGTTTTCATTTATTTTATTATATTTTAATTTATTTATTCACTGAGGCGGCTACAGCACCACGATTACCTTCTGTGTTTTGAATACATTCATTATTTTTTCAACCATTGTTGTCAGTTAAATGTGTGTATTGTCATTTCTCGCCACGATATAGCACATTTTGATCTATTTTGCATATTGGGCAATAAATTCAAAGGAAAAATTGGCTAATAATTTTACTTGATGTCACTACATCATATACATCATATTCTGTTTAAAATTTCAGACGCTTCTAATGCCTTCCTGCTTACCTGCTTTAAGATGAAAAATATACATTCAATCATTTTAGTCCAATCTTTTTACTTCCACTGTAAAAATCAAGCATTAATACATCATGATACATCGATCCAAAGGTGATGATTCACCTGCATCAGTTTTTAATTGTTACAACCACTTATTCTAATATTATTCATCATATATTTGATTTGTATGTTATATACAATCATATCTTCTTCAATGTGGATATGAATATCATTATTAACCATGAACTATTCATTAAAATAAATTTTTTTTTGAGATTTAAGATAAAATTTGAGATTTGATCTCCACTTCTGAAATACGATGAATGCTGGATATTAATGTTATTAGAACTTTGTTCTTGATGTTCTCCAGGGTTCTCAGTCAGTTTAGAATCTTGTACAGCTCTGTTCTTCATTCTGGGCTCATCTAACATTTCAACATTTCTATTTACAGTCATTTATACAGTCACCTGAACCCAGACTGGGTTTATATTATTGAAAACGGTGATTCCAAACCTTTGAATGCTAATATTTTTATATATTAGTCAATAAAGTATGTGCTTATCTTTGGGCCAAAATAAAATTCTTGGGCAATTTCAGAAATAAATATCACCAAATGAATCTCTTATTGTTTTTATTGCTTATATTTTGTTTACCTTCCACTAACTTTTAAATGAGGTAACACTTTATTTGGATGGTCCACTGTAGATGCTTTGTAAATGCTCAGTATATCTTTAAGTAATGTTCAACTAAATCTCCATTAAATGCAACTGAACTTTAAGTTCAGTATGAAAGATATTATTAAATCTATTCCTAACCTTAAACCTAACCCTAACCCTAACCTCAAGGCAAAACCTACACCTACTCGTAAACTTAACCCTAACCATAATGTTGTTGATAATCTGCTATCACCAGAAAGTTTGTTAATGATTTGAGCATCTGTAGAGCGTCAATAGGGGGCCATCCAAATAAAGTGTGACCTTAAATGATTTCTCCTTTACATTACATTTGCATTACATTTCACAAATCATTCAGAATTTTATCAAAATTAAACTGAATCGGGGTGAAATTTGATATTTGTAGTTCCATGATGCACTAAATCTTTTCCTGAAGAGTTGTGATCTAATCTTGTGGTCTAATCTTGTGGTGTCTAATCTTTGTGGTGTCTGAGATGATATTTGTCTGATGAATCTGACCGCTGGTGTTTCTCTGTGTTCCAGCTGAGCGTGAGATCGTGAGGGACATTAAGGAAAAGCTGTGTTACGTGGCTCTGGACTTTGAGAATGAAATGGCCACCGCAGCTTCATCCTCTTCCCTGGAGAAGTCCTACGAGCTGCCCGATGGTCAGGTCATCACCATCGGCAATGAGCGTTTCCGCTGCCCAGAGACCCTCTTCCAGCCCTCCTTCATTGGTCAGTTCTAACTATAAATCATATCAGCACGTTTTGTGTTGGCTTAGCCACACGTCACTCACCCAGTAAACATGTGGATAATAGTTTAATGTTCAAACTGTAGGAATCCATTGTTTGCTGTGTATGTATAGATGTGTTGAGCTTCTTGGAGGTGTGAAGGTTTAATATGGAGGTATTTAATATGGAGGTGTGAAGGTTTAATATGGAGGTATTTAATATGGAGGTGTGAAGGTTTAATATGGAGGTATTTAATACGGAGGTGTGAAGGTTTAACATGGAGGTGTTTAATACGGAGGTGTGAAGGTTTAACATGGAGGTGTTTAATACGGAGGTGTGAAGGTTTAACATGGAGGTATTTAATACGGAGGTGTGAAGGTTTAACATGGAGGTGTTTAATACGGAGGTGTGAAGGTTTAACATGGAGGTATTTAATACAGAGATGTGAAGGTTTAATATGGAGGTATTTAATATGGAGGTGTGAAGGTTTAACATGGAGGTATTTAATACGGAGGTGTGAAGGTTTAACATGGAGGTATTTAATATGGAGGTGTGAAGGTTTAACATGGAGGTATTTAATACAGAGATGTGAAGGTTTAATATGGAGGTATTTAATATGGAGGTGTGAAGGTTTAACATGGAGGTATTTAATATGGAGGTGTGAAGGTTTAACATGGAGGTATTTAATACAGAGATGTGAAGGTTTAACATGGAGGTATTTAATACGGAGGTGTGAAGGTTTAACATGGAGGTATTTAATACAGAGGTGTGAAGGTTTAACATGGAGGTATTTAATACGGAGATGTGAAGGTTTAATATGGAGGTATTTAATACGGAGGTGTGAAGGTTTAACATGGAGGTGTTTAATACGGAGGTGTGAAGGTTTAACATGGAGGTATTTAATACGGAGGTGTGAAGGTTTAACATGGAGGTATTTAAAACGGAGGTGTGAAGGTTTAACATGGAGGTATTTAATACGGAGGTGTGAAGGTTTAACATGGAGGTGTTTAATACGGAGGTGTGAAGGTTTAACATGGAGGTATTTAATACGGAGGTGTGAAGGTTTAACATGGAGGTATTTAATACGGAGGTGTGAAGGTTTAACATGGAGGTATTTAATACGGAGGTGTGAAGGTTTAACATGGAGGTATTTAATACGGAGGTGTGAAGGTTTAATATGGAGGTATTTAATACGGAGGTGTGAAGGTTTAACATGGAGGTATTTAATACAGAGGTGTGAAGGTTTAACATGGAGGTATTTAATATGGAGGTGTGAAGGTTTAACATGGAGGTATTTAATACAGAGATGTGAAGGTTTAACATGGAGGTGTTTAATACGGAGGTGTGAAGGTTTAACATGGAGGTATTTAATACGGAGGTGTGAAGGTTTAACATGGAGGTGTTTAATACGGAGGTGTGAAGGTTTAACATGGAGGTGTTTAATACGGAGGTGTGAAGGTTTAACATGGAGGTGTTTAATACGGAGGTGTGAAGGTTTAACATGGAGGTGTTTAATATGGAGGTGTGAAGGTTTAACATGGAGGTGTTTAATACGGAGGTGTGAAGGTTTAACATGGAGGTATTTAATACGGAGGTGTGAAGGTTTAATATGAAGGTATTTAATATGGAGGTGTGAAGGTTTAACATGGAGGTATTTAATATGGAGGTGTGAAGGTTTAACATGGAGGTATTTAATACGGAGGTGTGAAGGTTTAATATGGAGGTATTTAATACGGAGGTGTGAAGGTTTAACATGGAGGTATTTAATACGGAGGTGTGAAGGTTTAATATGGAGGTATTTAATATGGAGGTGTGAAGGTTTAACATGGAGGTATTTAATACGGAGGTGTGAAGGTTTAACATGGAGGTATTTAATACGGAGGTGTGAGGTTTAATATGGAGGTATTTAATAGGAGGTGTGAAGGTTTAACATGGAGGTATTTAATACGGAGGTGTGAAGGTTTAACATGGAGGTATTTAATACGGAGGTGTGAAGGTTTAATATGGAGGTATTTAATACGGAGGTGTGAGGTTTAACTGGAGGTTTTAATACGGAGGTGTGAGTTTATATGGAGGTATTTAATACGGAGGTGTGAAGGTTTAACATGGAGGTATTTAATACGGAGGTGTGAAGGTTTAATATGGAGGTATTTAATACGGAGATGTGAAGGTTTAATATGGAGGTATTTAATGGAGTGTGAAGGTTTAACATGGAGGTATTTAATACGGAGGTGTGAAGGTTTAGACCCTATTTTTGACTTCAACCCTGTAGATGTTGTTTTTGTTTCACAGGTTTCAGGCTACTATGACGTTGGTGTGTCACATGTTCACAACTTGTTAGTAATATAACCATGGAAATTGATGTAGCGTAACCATAGAAATTAGTCTAGCGTAACCATGGAAATGGGTGTAGAGCAGGGTAGCATAAGCATGGAAATGGGTATAGTACAGCTATGGAAATGAGTGTAGAGTAACAATGGAATGGGTGTAGCGTAACCATGGAAATGATGTAGCATAACCATGGAAACGAGTGTAGCATAACCATGGAAATGGTTGTAGAGTAACCATGGAAATTAATATACAGTATCCATGAAAATGGGTGTAGCGTAACCATGGAAATGAGTGTAGAAAAACCATGGAATGGGTGTAGTGTAACCATGGAAATGGTGTAGCATAACCATGGAAACGGGTGTAGAGTCACCATGGAAATGAGTACAGTGTAACCATGGAAATGAGTGTAGTATACCTGTGAAGGAGGACTAATTTGAAATCAATCACATAATTAGTTACTCTGGGTTCCTAAGAGTAACTATGAGGTCGTGTATGAGAACGTTCTCCTCACTCCTCTCCTCAGGTATGGAGTCTGCTGGCATCCATGAGACCACATACAACGGCATCATGAAGTGTGATATCGACATCCGTAAGGACCTTTACGCCAATAACGTCCTCTCTGGAGGTACCACCATGTACCCGGGTATCGGAGACAGGATGCAGAAGGAGATCACAGCTCTGGCCCCCAGCACCATGAAGATCAAGGTAACAGGCAGCATGACCCACCTGCACCTACAGAACGAGGGTCCTTTAGTTACAGCAGCAGAGAATCACATTTACCTGATCAGCCAGGACAGGTGTGGGTCTAACTGCATGGCATAATGTCACTGTGGCACCGTGAGGCACAAAGAAAGCAGACAGAAAGGGGGAGAGATAAAAGAAAGAAACAGAAAAAAGCAAACAAGAAAGAGGGAGGAGAAAGAAAAAAGGAGAGAGAGAGGAGAGACAAAGAGAAACAGCTAGAGAGAGAAAAAAGAAGGGGAAAAAATTGAAAGAGAGAAAGAAAAGTAAGGGAGGAAGAAGAGAATAAAAAAGCCTCAAGAGACAAACTTTAGACACACTTTGGAATAATATCAAATAAATGCCAAGGACTAATATCTCTCTCTCTCTCTCTCTCTCTCTCTCTCTCCATCTCTCTCTCTCTCTCTCTCTCTCTCTCTCTCTCTCTCTCTCTCTCTCTTTTTTCTCTCCCCCTCCCTCCCCCTCCTTCTTTCTTTCCCCCTCTCTCCCTTTTTCCCTTCCTCTCTCTCTCTCTCTCTCTCTCCCCCTCTCTCCCTCCCTCCCTCTCTGCTGTAGATGATTGCCCCTCCTGAGCGTAAGTACTCAGTCTGGATCGGCGGCTCTATTCTGGCCTCTCTCTCCACCTTCCAGCAGATGTGGATCAGTAAGGATGAGTACGACGAGGCTGGACCTTCCATCGTCCACCGAAAGTGCTTCTAAACACACACACACACACACACACACACACACACACACACACACACACCTCTCATCTCTCCCCTGAAGATCTGAAGCTCTGTAGACACTCAGTGGGCGGGTTAGTGAAATCTAGGTTGCTCACGCTTAAAAACCAGTTCTTCAAGCGTTCTTTAGTAAAGACAACGGTTCTGTATAGAACCATGAACACTCAGGGACCATTTGCATGCTTAAATGGCATATAGCACCATAAAGGGTTCTCCTATTATTACAAGCTTGAAATCATAACAATAGAAGAATACTTTTTGGTGCTACACAGAACCTTTTTCAAAAGGGTTCTGTGTAGAAACATCTTTACAGCACATCCTCCCATCAATCTGAAGAGCCATTTAAGCATGCAAAGCGTTCTTTGAGTGTTCTATACAGAACCATTCTACTGAAGAGCCCTTAGTTCTACAGTGCGGCTCTGGCTGAGTCTGTGTCTGTAAGGAAGACTGAGGTTGGGCTTGTTCTGATGGAGAGTTCACTGTTTATTCACTCATGTTCTTATTTGGCTTTTGATTCCGAATACAATAAACTTTCATACCATCCACACTGACTGTGACGCGCCTTTGTGTTCTCGGCAACAAACGAACATCTCATGATTTTTGACTTAAAGAGCCCGTATCATGGAAAACATATAATATATGAGTATATATGAAATATATGAGTATACAAACATAATTAAAGTTTGTACCATGTGTGACACATACAACTGATACATTTACTCTGACGTGGTGGTGGTGTGTTAGTGTGTGTTGCGCTGGTCGGAGTGGATCAGACACAGCAGTGCTGCTGGAGTTTTTAAACACCTCAGTGTCGCTGCTGGACTGAGAATAGTCCACCAACCAAAAATATCCAGCCAACAGCGTCCTGTGACCACTGATGAAGGACCAGAGGATGACCAGCACAAACTGTGCAGCAGCAGATGAGCTATCGTCTCTGACTTTACATCTACAAGGTGGACTGTCAAGGTAGGAGTGTCTAATAGAGTGGACAGTGAGTGGACACAGTGTTTAAAAATTCCAGCAGCACTGCTGTGTCTGATCCACTCAGACCAGCACAACACACACTAACACACCACCACCACATCAGTGTTACTGCAGTGCTGAGAATGATCCACCACCCAAATAGTACCTGCTCTGTGAGGGTCCATGGGGGCTAACAAAGTATCAGAGAAACAGATGGACTACAGTCTGTAACTGTAGAACTACAAAGTGCACCTATATAGTAAGTGGAGCTGATAAAATGGACAATGAGTGTAGAAACAAGAAAGTGGTCAGAATGTTATGCCTGGTGTATATTTACTATTTTTAAACCATATAATGGTGAATCTGTGCCTCTGTATTTTATGTTATGGTAGTTAAACACACTTTACATGCAAGGTTGCACGTTTTGTAATTTTAAGGAATTTATCACTGGTGCTATAAAAAGTTACAAATTACATTTTTTTAGCACTGATATAAAACTGCATAAATTGCTTCTAAAAAGTAGAAATTCTCAATAAGTGAAACAAACTGTCAATTTGAGTGTGAAAAAAACAGAAGCAGCATGTAAAATGTTTACATTTTAATATACAGATCATCCATTTTCTCCACAATAATTAAGATTTCCACAAGAGGGCGCTATTAGAACTAGAAAATATTGGAACTTTTACTTTGAAGAAACCTACACCAGCAGGAACTCACAAACAACTGGAGTCATAAACGTCAAAACGGGATGCAAAAAACAGGGTTTTGTGTACTGTAGTGACCTGCTTCAGGCTGGCGTTGACAGCAGCACTGCTGGGTCTGATCCACTCATACCAGCGCAACACACACTAACACACCACCACCACGTCAGTGTTACTGCAGTGCTGAGAATGACCCACCACACAAATAGTACCTGCTCTGTGAGGGTCCATGGGGGTCCTGACCACTGAAGAACAGGGTAACAAAGTATGCAGAGAAACAGATGGACTACAGTCTGTAACTGTAGAATTACAGAGTGAAACTATATGGTCAGTGGAGCTGATAAAGTGGACAGTGAGTGTATATAAAGACTGATTTTGACTGTCTAGCAGAAGACTGCGAAGAGAATAGAAACCGAAGGAATATATTAATTAATACATTCATTAATATATTCATTAATTATATTTATATTCTGATACTTATAAACTCACTATTATGTAGTTTACTTCACACATTCACATTCTGTTGTTGTTTCCTCACAGTGCTTTAAATAAGTGTACAAATTCACGACAGTCCAACTCTTAAGGCTACACACTTCAGAAAGATGGTTCTTCAAGGGTTCTTTAGTGAGGTGAATGGTTCTATTTAGACCCATTAGATCTGTATAGAATCATTTCATGCTTGAAGGGTTCTTTGCATGGTGAAATGGTTCATCAGATTGATGGAGAATGAGAATATGTTGCATATGGTTCTATATAGTACCTTTTTGAAAATGGTTCTATGTAGCACTGAAAAGCGTTCCGCTATTTTTACAATATCAAGCCTGAAGAACCATTTTACAGTCCAAAGAACCACATAAGCATCTTTCTAATGTGTAGAATAAGCTGCTGTAGTTCATGTTCATGGCCATTAGGTGGCAGCATCACATTATTATTATTTTACTCACCTCTGATACAGAACCTCAGTGAATCATCACTATTTCAAATCATTTACCAGATATACTTTAGAATACATTTATTTTAAAAAGTATGGGGAAATATTACACACAGAAATGTTCCATACAGAAATAACTATGTAAATGTGTTTATTAAATCCATCTGAAAATGTATGAAAATATCCAGAATCCTGTCTGATGCTCTTCACTGTCTGATACCTTTAGAGATGAATTTGTGTTCCAGTATCTTCATTTTAAATCTGATCTAATGATCCTTTAACAGACAGAAGCGAGTGTTGTGGGTATTGATACTCTGTGAAAATGCAGTTATGATATGATATCTTGTTTGTGTGAAATACATTGTGTGTGAGAGTCTGACTGCAGACGTACATGGTTAATGTAAAGTACAGTGCAGATCACAGAAGTCAGTACGTTTAGTTACATCTGGAACCTTCATTACACTCAACTGAACACAGACAATAACACACAGATAAATGCATTGTATTTTATATATATTGCAAAAATATATTTGACAACTGGGTCGTTCTCCATTTGGAGCGGGAATTCAGGTGGAAACATTTAAAAAATCAGCTTCTTTCAAGATCAAAATCAACATCTATTATCGTATATGTCAAAAGGAGCTGAATTCCAGACATATTTTACAGTCACTGGTGTTGTATGAATATGGTGTAACTCCAGTGACGGTGACTCCAGTGACATTCAGGTTAAAACTGAGGATTTAGTAAACTGGCTGACTCACTGGCTGATCAGGTGACCTTGTGCAGCCATTTGAATTCAGTAATAAAGATTATATTTGGCATTATTTTGACAAAATTTTAATTACTCAGCCATTAAAGTCCATAACATGAGTGACACATGGAAGTTATGAGCTGCCTGATAAACAGAATTATTAATAAATTAATGAATATAGTGAGCGAGTGTGACTCGCCTTCTCATGCCTTAAGCTGCTTCCTCTCTGATGAGCCTCGACCCAAAGAAGCAGTTTAATAGAGCTGAAAATACTGTTAAAATGTAAAATAAGAGTGCTGATAACACCAGTGACCAAAATCTCTGAGAGATTAATTTTTTAAATAAAATACATATTTTTTAAATGTAGTATAACTTTAATGATATAAAAAATAAACATGAATGAAAGTTGGTTTTGTGACGAGCTGTTTTACCGATGCAGAGCGACTATGAAACAGAATAAAAAGAGAAAACTCGGAGAATCATAAGGGAAAAGTGTTATTTAATCTAAGGTCGACTGTGTAAATGTACATACTGACTTCTGGAGCTGTGTCTGATATTTTAAGCATCTTTTTAAGCCCTGCAGCCTTTGTAACATGGTTTCCCCTCCAAACAGAGAATGACTCTTATACATCTGGAATATATGTATTTTTTCATATGTTCTCTGTTATGGGGACATTAGTGAGGGGATGTGAGGAAGAGACGGCTGGTGTAGAGAGAGAGGAAATGTGCAGAGGACTTTAATGGCACTGTTGGGAAAAACATCTTAGATTTTCACGGCT